AGGTTATAGTTCCAACCTTTTTTTTTACAATCTTATACAACTATATCTTAACACCGTTGATTTCCGTCAATTAACGGTTATCATTTATTATGAATTAATAATTATTGAATGAGTTTATATAATCATCGAGTCATGCAGTTGAACCAAAGACCCGATACCTAGACCGAGTTATTGACTGGACTGATTTTAATAACATTGATTAAAATATCACTATGATATTTTCAAAAAATAAAATAAAAGAGGGAAAAAGTGTGTGTTAATTAATAGCTCCGTCTATTGTTATTTGTTCCTCTATTCCTTTAGTAATGAAATGAATGAAAATTTGATTTTTCAATTTGGTTTTAATATTTCTATAGTGAATCTAGATAAATATAAAAAAATTTAAAATGATATTGTTTTGTATTGAAAGATTAAAATTTTATAACGAGGAATATTATTATAACCCTAAAATAAATTATACACCAAAATCTTGATTTTCGGCTCAAAACGACATCATTTTTACATATTGACTGCAGAAAAAATAAACTCTTTAAATTTATATAAAAATATGTAATGAATATTATAACAATAATAAAATATTGTGAATGAACTATTGACATTGTTATTATTCTATTTTATTTCTTTCAATATGGTCATCATATTAACCTACAAACTATTACTTAAACTGAAATAATTACTTGCTAATTGATCTTTTGTTTAGTGGTTAGTAATTGAATTTTTAACTATAATAATTTGTAAAGAAAAAAGTGTTTGTCATTTTAAATGACGTAAAATTATGTCATTTCAAGAAAAAGATAGACACAAAATAAAAAAAAATTATTTAAAATTTAAATTAAAAATAAATCATCCACTTTCTCTCCCATGATTTTCATTCCTTGTGTCTATCTCTCTCCTAAAATGACATAACTTATGTCATTTAAAATGACAAACATCAAACCCGTTTCTGAAAAGCATAAGAAATATAAATACTTTTAAAACTCCTTTGGAAGAGCTTTTGAAAAATACACTTTTTGTGCCTTGACTTTTGTAGAAAGTTTTTTTCAAAAGTTAAAATTATTTTACATTTAAATGAATTACATTGAGTAAAAAGATTATTTGAATTTTAAAATTAATAAACACTTTTAAAATATAAAATTAGGCTTTAATATTTTTACAGTGAATGAAGATAAGTTATTAACATTTATTGCTAAAATAACGTCGTTTTGAGTTGAAAGATTAAAAAAATATAATGAAAAAGGCTGTTATAACTCTGAAATAAATTATAATTATAAAAATACCTTAATTTTTGTCTCAAAATAATGTCATTTTGAATTTAATGTAAATAACTTATCTACATTAACGGCAAAAAAAAAAAAAAAACCCATAAAATTATTAGTAGACATTGTTCAAACCACTAGCTTTGTACGATTTGCTTCCCTGTCTCACTAAGTGGGATCCTTTATAATATACATCTGATATAAATGTGGTTCACACAATTTTTAAACTTTTTGATAAGATGGTGAATTATATATGCTTCCCCATTAATAAGTACAAAAGCATTCTTTAATTGTTTAACTCTAATGGTTCTGTTTTTACATGACATCTAACTAATTGCCAAAGGATATATGTTTTTCCCTATCCTTTTTTTAACCGGTTTTCTAGTCTTGTATTGACAAATCATATTCTAAACTTGTATATTTGTCTTTTTTTTTCCTTTTTTTTTTACTTAAGAACAAGAATTTTATTAATCTCATGTTAAAGGAGATAAGTTATCTCATGTCATAGAGACAAACTTGTGGAATCCACCACCTAAAAAATTAAAAAGAAAAGAAAAGAAAAAGGTGACACAGTTATCGAAGGGTGTGTAGGAGAAAAAAGTTATCTCATGTGACATGAGAAAAGTTTTTCCCTAAGAACAAAGCCCAAAACAAAGAAACAGGGCGAGAGAAACCACCCCAAATCACACGCAACAGGAGCTAATTCTAAAGGAACCGAGGTAAAACAATTTGTAGCATTGTGACATTTTAAGGGCATGCTTTGCTAGCCAATCAGCCCCCGACACTATTGTTCTTTACTTGCGAGTTCCAGACGTGCGCAATGAGGGGAATAAGAGGGAGGATCTACTTCGGGGATTGGCTAGTAACACAAACATGCACACATTGCAGATGAGACAAATAGGAATTTTGGTTGACGAGTAGAATAAGAAGAAAAAAGAGAGAGAGAGGGGGGGGGGGAAGTGAGGCAAGTTTGGGAAGGAGAAAGCAAGCCTCTTGAACAGTCTAATATATCTCTTTTTTCATTCCGTTTGAATGAATTTTTTGTACAAATCCTCATCAGAATACTGATATCACAGAGAACAGTACTTTCTGTAGCAGAGTGTGTCATGTTCAGAGAGTTTGGGTTTGTGTATTCTATTACCAGCATCACGTTTCCAACTGGACTCTCTTGGAAAAGGTAGTTAAAAGATCACCCAACAATGTATTTATATATACGATACACCTCCTCACACTCATAGTTTCAAGCAAGGACAGTACACGTAATTTAGTGCCTGTTTGAATACTGATTTTAAAAACAATTTTTTAATTTTCAGAAGAAAAAAATAAATAAAAAACCTGTTTAATAAGACTTACAACATCAACATCAACATCAACATCATCTTTAACCCAAACTAATTGGGATCGATGGTAGATAAACTCAATGATAGATACAACGAGATTTTAAAAAAAATTAAGGGAAATGGGGGAGGGGAAATAAGATAAAAGAAAATAAGGGGGAAAAGAGAGGGGGATGAAGAGGATAAGGACTAAACATGGACAATCTGGAACATAGGAACAACAACGGGTCTAACTCTTCACCCTGCATATAGCTTTTCTATATTCCGTACTAACACACCGTCCGCCAATCTATATCCCGCTCCATTAAGTCTTTTTTAACTACCTTTTCCTAGGTAAATTTTGGTCTACCTTTACCTCTCTTTGTGTCGAACTCTTGACAACAAACTTTTGTTCTTATACTACTACTACCTTTCGTCGAATATCTTCATTTCTTATCTTATCCATCCTCATATAACTACACATCCACATTAACATCCTCATTTCTACTACTCCCATTTTATGCTCACGTTGCTTATATGCTAGCCAACATTAAGTTCTATATAACATTACAGACCTTACTATTGTTCTATAGAATTTTCCTTTTAGTTTAAGGGAAATTTTGCGATCACACAAAAACATAGATACACTCCACCATTTCATCAATCCTGCTCTGTACCTATGATTTATATTCCCATCAACCTCACTACTTTTTTGCAAAATTGATCCCAAGTATCTAAAAACATATTTCTTGGGTACCTATTTAATAAGATCTATTTTATAAAAATAATTCTAAAAAATTATAATTGTTTTTTTTTATAGAATCAAATTTAGAGAGTATGTCTGAATTTTTTTTTGTTTTGTGTTTTGATTTTTAACTTTCAAAACAAAAAAATACACAGAAAAAACATTTTATTAACTATTCTACAAAAATAATTTCATGAATAAAAAAACACATAACACAATCAAACCGACCTTATTCTCCTAAATTCTAATAAAAGCATTAAGAAGATTATAAGGAATTTGTAAGAAAAGGCATACCCCCTTACTGAAAAAAAAAAACAATCTAGCAAGGCTGGCCAATCCATATCTGCTTATGCTGAAATTTATATTAAAAGTATACGGTTTTGTTAATGTGTGCCTTTAGGATACAGGGTCAGGCTACTAAACAAACCAGGGGCCTTTGTCTCGACTCGTGAAGGCCTGAGTTTACATGTCTAAAATTAGTTGTTGACACCAGACTTGAACTTGTATTAAAGCTCATTTAATATCAAGGCCTCAGGCTCCAATTTAGAAGCTCGACCTTAAAGCCTCTCAGGCTGGCTTAGTACATTATTTTTTATTTATATTTTATATTTTTTATACTATTTGTAATAGCTCTCTCTTTCTCCTCAATCCATTTCACCCCATTTTATTAGTTAAACAGACTTTTTGAATGATTTTGTTTTATATTATGTTGTTTGGATATAAATTGAATTTATGAATATTCATGGAACTACTAGTTTTGTTGATTGTATATTTTGTTTCGATAAATTTTTGTTGTCTTATTTTTTTTCAATAGGCTAACAGGTTAAACAAGGCTTTTATTTTTTGTAAATAAGTCAGGCCACAGACCGATAGTTATATTTATAACAGGTAACAGGCTTGATCAGGCTGACACATTTAAACACAGACTTAGCCTTTTAAGATCAAAGCTCGGCTCGACTCGGCCCGTTAATACCTTTAGTAATGAATAAAAACAAACTATTAAATGAGAAGTAGAAGCATTTAGTATCTTTACAATCCAAAAAACATTTAACAATTTTTATTTAAAAAATCAGTGTGAATTAATGAAGAGTAATTAATGCTTATTAACAAGTATCTCGAGAACACTGGTAAACAAAAGCCAAATGTTTAACTCTTTTTTTTTAATACATAAATATTTAACTTTTGAATATAAAGAATGCGGGCAATAAGGATTAAACTCCGAGCCTAACGTAAGAGGCTTTGATACAATACACAGTACAGCGATATAAAATAACAAAATGAATACTGAAATAAAAAAAGGAAGGCAAGCTCCTATTAGCTGTTATTTCAGCATTTAACATTGGCAGTAGTTATTGGAAAGGTATAACTACTGGCAGTAGTTATTAGCAGTAGTTGTTTCTTCAAGCAATGGTTATTGGCAAGCCAAATCATATAATCAATTGGAAAGGTAATTCAACATGCATGCCATCAATGTTTCATTTCAAGATGATGCCTAATTTCATTGTATAATAAAGAACAATCGATAAACTATGTTTCATCAAATCTAACTATTCTTTCTTTTGCTTTTGCTCTTGCTCATCAGCCTTCAATAACATCAATATTAATATTTGTTCCAGCAACCGACAGATTGCGTACGAAGTGAATAAATTAATATAAACAGCAGTATTTCCTATTCTTGCTAGAGATCATAATTTAAGATGAATTTACATACCAGTCAAAAAGTTGAGGTATGTTTCAGACAGTCAAAGTTAATAGTATGCTTTCTTAAGTTCACAAGTATTTTGATAAGCTAATATTGCAAACAAATTGATAATTTATCCATAGATTGTAACAACTAGCAGCATGGGGGGAGGAAAAGTGAAACACAGAAAGCAAGAAAAAAAATAAATATGAATCTTTATGTAGAAAGTAAAACTTAAATGTGCGTAGCACCTTTAGAATTTATGATTGTAAGTTTGTAACCTCACCAAAAGGGAAGTTTCGAACCACGTAGTCCACTACTCACAGGTGAAGGCAGTTTGAATTCTGCTTTCCTTGACTTAGTTGCTTTTCTTGGCAGTGGTTTCACTTTCACTATCAATAACTCCAAGTTACCCCAGCAAGCGAGGGGGTTAAGTATTCAACAAATCCAGGATTAAGGAGAGAACCTAAGCAATGAGGCATTAACTTGAGAATTTTTAATCGAAATTGAGCTGTGGTAAACAATTTGGCACAAAAATTCATCTTAATTGAGAATGACAGTCGTGCGCTTCAAAACCTTTAAACGAAGATACCTAAAGTGTACATCAAGAGAGCGTCAATGAACTTACATTAGCAAGCATGCTAATTAGGAGGGAAACCGACTGCAAGCAACAAGCCTTATCATCAACATTGATATTTACTTCTTTAAGAACAGAAAGGTTGCTTGCATAAAGTTGCTGAGCAGGAACACCCGAAAAATCAAAAGAACGAAGATTCGGAGTAGATACTGCTCTGTAAAAACCTTTCTGATAAACTGGGGAAGCATATATGGTAAAATCGACAAGCATGGCATTTGAAGTGCAAAGGATATGTGAATTTTACCTTATAACAAATGGACAATGACTAAAGTCTTCAGCTTAATACAGGAAGAAATGCATAGTTCCTAATATGCAAACTTATATAGGGATAGTTTAGCTTAACCTACAGATCTGAATAACAGGATATGTATTTATAGGCATACATTTAGCTTGCAAACTAAGCTGCAATCTAAACCAACTAACCAAACTCAGTTGTAACGGTTCAGAAAGTTATCATAGAAGCACGTGGGCTTAACCACCAAACTACAAAGTGAAATAACACTAATCCAGGAGGTGCCGTATAGTAGCTCTGCACCAGCTTAATAAGCTAACAATCTAAAAATATTACAAGGGAGTTTTTACTCCAATATAGGCGTAAAAAAAATAGTAGGTAGGTTTCTGGAAATCATTTTTTCGCAAAGAAATATTCTTAAATTTTCTACCATTTTCATAAGCAAATATCACAATAAACAAGGGATAATTTGTTGTGATAACTAACGAGATTTGGAGGGAGGGAGGGAGAGAAACACGGATAGAAGGAAAGATATGAATATCTACTCAAAGATTTAAATGTGCGATTCACCTTCAGCAATTTATGATAGTAATCACTGCAAATGGGGAGTTTCGAATCAAGTAATCCACTACTCCGTCAGGTACAGGTTTCAATTCTGCTTTCTTTGATTTGTAAACTCTTCCCGGCTTTTGATATGGAGGCAAAATGTTTTTCACTTTCACTATCAATGACTTCAAGTTACCAAAGCAAGGGGCTTCAGTATTCAATAAATCTGGGATGGAGGAGAGAACCTACACAATGAGGGGTCAATAAGACATATTAACATAAGAATCTTTTAAATGACAAGATTGAGGTCTGGCAAAAATTTTGGCTCAGAAAATGCATCCTAATAGAAAAACAAGAAATAATGTACTTATAACGAAATGAAGATACCCGAAGAGTACTTGAATAGAGTGTCAATGATCTCATGTTAGCAAATAGTTGCAGCCAGCTAAATAGGATAAAACCTGAACGCGAGTGACACAATGCAGCCCATTGATCAGCATCAATATTTACTTGTTTAATAGAAGAAAGATTGCTTGCAGAGATATGCTGAATGGGAACACCCGAGAAAGCAAAAGAGAAAAGATTGGGAGTTGATAGCACAATTTTGTAAGCTTGGTAAGAACGTATGGTCAAATTGACAAGTGCAGCATTTGAGATGCATAGGATTTGTGTATCCCTTATAGCACAGTTGTGAATAACCAAAGTCTTCAACTTAATACATGACGAAAACGGCTCCACCAATTCACTGTCACCAAAGGTGAAGTTACAAAGACTCAAACTTGTTAAGGCTGTCAGATTTAGAGATTTTGGAAATAACTGAGATCTGTAGGTAACTGTGAGATCAAGGGATGTTAAAGTCTGACACAAAAACAAGGAAGGTGGCAAATCAAGATCACAATCATAAGTGAGTTTTAATTGCCGGATATCATACGATAAAGCATATCTCAAAACCCTTTTCATAAGATGGGGATGAACACGGCCACTATAACTGAATTCAAGATGATGGAGTGGAACAGAGCCATCACGGATAGACAGAACCTTAGGCACAAATTGGTTGAAAAAGGTCATTGACGAAAAGTTCATGTAATGTAATATAAGCGTAGGAAGACGTTTCCAGAGACCCTTCCATCTCTTCGACAACATGCATGTTTGAATAGCATCTTTGGTTGGCACAAACGACATTAAGTGAATGAGAACGCAATCAGGCAAATCACTGAGCCTGTCTTCATTGTTCTCACTCAGCTTTGCTCTCTTCATATTGGGTTCTTCACCTTCCTTCTCTACCACTTGCACTAACAAGCATTCGAGATTAACAAATCTACACGGAAAGTGAAAAACCAAAGAATGGAAACCCTAGTTTCTCAAATCATAAGAAATAGAAATTGTTTAAGAGCGCATTTGGATCTGCCTTTGAAAAAAGAAATTTTATGGCTTTTATAGTAAGACTTTGTATATATGTTAAAATTATTTTGTTTGAATAAATTACAATGTGTAGAAAAATTATTTGGATATTAAAATTAATAAATAATTTTCATATATAAAAGGGTTTGATGTTTGTCATTTTAAATAACATAAGTTATGTCATTTTAAGAGAGAGATAGACACAGAAAAATAAAAATCATGGGAGAAAGAAAAAGGGTGATTTTTTTAATTTAAAATTTAAATAAAAAAAATTTATGTGTCTATCTCTCTTTTATAATGACATAACTTTATGTCATTTAAAATCACAAATATTTTCCCCTATATAAAATTATTAAAAAGGATAATAAAGTTATTTTATTATGCAAGATATAATCGGTCTAGCATGTTTTAAATTATTAATGGAAAACAAAGGCCTAACTTTTTTGCTTGACTTATAAACTTTGAGGATTGTGCGCCTTCGCTAATTGAACAATGCATTGTCCCACTCCCGGAGTCTCTCATATTACTGCTATGTTAAGCTAGAATGTTAAGCACAAACTATTTCCATTTTTTTTAATATAAATAAACATAAGAGGAAGATAAATAGCATTGATTACTAGTCAATTTTTTATTGACCTTGAATAATATTTTTTTTTTTTTTTTTTTTTTTTTTTTTTTGATAACAACCTTGAATAATATTTCAAATAGCTTTAAGGAGACTTGAGAAAAAAGATGTTGTCTTTCCTCATGACTCTGTAGACATGGTTCAAACTTCAAACCACCAGCTTCATATAATTTGTTTCCTTTTTTATATACAACAGTAACAACTATAAGTTAAAGTTCCCACTAAGTGGGATCCTTTGTGATATAAATCTGATTGACACAATTTTTAAACTCTAAGATGGTGAATGAAATGATATATACTTCCCCATTAACAAGTGCAAAGGCATTCTTTAATTGTTTAACTTATGATTGCGTTTTGATACAATTACATCTGGCTAAATGCCAAATGATATATACTTCGCCCTATGCCTTTTTCTTTTATCCGGTTTTCAAGTTGTGTTATCAACTCTACTAGTTTAAAAGGGAGCTATTCATACACTTACAAAAAGAAAAAGTTGACTAAGTTTTTGTATGGATAGTTCAAGGTATTATTTTCTGCATGTTGAAAGATGCACACAGATAGTGTACATTGAAAAAATAATTAAGGCTCCATCTGCTTCTTAGAGCTCGTTTGTATTGACTTCTTAAGAAAATTCTTTTTATCACTTCCTTATTTTAAAAGTACTTTATATAAAAGTTACAGTTATTTAGATTTTTAAAAAAATATTTGATTTTTGAAAAAAATATTTGGTTTTGACTTCTGCTTTTTTTAAAAGCTAAATTTTTTAGCTTCCGAAAAAAGTAGATTTTTGACTTTTTTTATAACTTATGTTTTTTTTTAAAGCAGACATCCAAACAGACTTTTTTCGAGAAGTGTTTTTTTTCTTAAAAAAAGTAGTTTTTGAAGAAAAAAAATTCATCCAAACGGGCTCTTAGTCATTTGGCTGTGTCCAATTTGATTAAATTACTTATCCCCTATTTTTGATTAATTATACTCAAATCTATAGTAATTGTAAAATGTAGTATGATGCAATCATCCAAATTTCTCACGATTTCATGCCTTCTCTTTTCCTTCACAAGGTAGCGGCGGAAGAACTTATGCTTTGTAAAGTACTTTATGAATATGAAAATGATATTGTATTGACATGTCATATTCAAACCTGCTGACTATCCAACAGTATTGTTCTTTTTTCTTTTTTTGAAAACAGCAGTATTGTTCTTGTGTGTTCTAGTCGTGCGTAATGAAAGAAATAAGAGAGAGGATCAACTTGGGGAATTGGCTAGGTAACACATTGCAGGTGAGACAGATGGAAATTTCGGTTGAAGAGTGGAATAAGAAAAAAAAAAAAGGGAAGTGAGGCACGAATGTATTAACTGAAACGGTGCGAAGGAGGAAGCAAGCCCCGTGAACAGTCTAACATATCTCTGTTTCCTTTTTCTATTTGAATGAATTTTTTGTACAAATCCTCATCAGAATACCGATATCACAATGATAATAGAAACTTTTCCAGCAGAGAGTAATGTTTAACGAGTTTGTGTATTCTGTTTCTATAATCGATATTTATTACACTTATTTATTATTCTTTATTAATAATTTTAGGATTGTTTAGTGTGTAAATAATGATTTTTTGGGTTGAATTGGATGTTAGGCTTTAATTGTGCTTAATTCATTTTTTACACTAAAATTCCAAATTTATGTTGTTCCGATATTTTGAACATAACTTTTGTTCTAGATGTTCGACTAATCCTATTTTTGTCTCATTTTGCAGATGATTCGGAGAGCCACAAATGTTATGAAGACATGAAAGTTAAATTCGGACAAGAGGATGGTCAAAATTGGAGCCAAAGTATAACATGAGTTGCTGAAATTTTATGCAATTAATTAGGCCTGATTTGTAATTAAGAGTCCAATGTATATGAGGCCCATAGTTATCATTTATGTTTTGTTTTCTTTTATTTTGGATCAGATTTATAGAGCTCGAAACCCAATTACTAGGGGTTAAAAGGCAAGATTAGGAAACCTTGTTTTTCAGTTTTATGTTGAATAATTTTATGATTCAATTTCAGTTTTCATTTTCTCTCTTCTGTTCTTCATTTTCTTCTTTTAATTTTGTTTTCTACTTAGCCATGCTAGGCTAAGCTTCTTTAATCAACCCAAGGGTTGAGGACTTCCATTGTTGAATCCTGAGAACCTGCGCCTCATCTTGAACCAATTTTGTTTCTCTTCCCTTAACTCGGGTTAAACATAACGCGATTGTGTGTGTTGAATCTAAAATCTACGATTGCACTCTAAGAAAGAGATTCAATACTAGATTTAATATTCAGGTTGATTAACTCAATGAACACAACAAGTCAAACGAGTTGATACTCTGCAATTGCACGAGTAGACGCACTGTATTGCTCAAACACGCTAGGTGAGATTGTCTAAAGTGGGATTCCTAAGCGAATGCAGGGATTCCGATTCGCTTAGGATCAACCATAATTTGGTAATTATTTTTCCAATAATGAATGTTCTTAGAATTTTAATTTTAGGATGGGTTATTTTTAAATTGATATTTCCGTTTTTAAATCTTATTTTTACCTTCCATTTTAATCGCATTGACAACACCCCCCCCCCCCCCCCCCCCCTATACTTTCTATTTTAATTGAGCAATTTAAGGCCCTTGCAAATTTTTTGAGAGAAACATTTCAGTTGTTCCTATATTACAAATCTTTGTTTTTTTATAAACTTGATTAATGTAAGTGAGATCAACGTCTCACGTCAATTTCCAGATGCCATCATGCTTGTTTCCAACTGGACTCTCTTGGAATAAGTAGTTAGATGTACACCCAACAATTGAATTATATATCTAATACACGTCCTTACGCTTGAAGTTTAAAAGCATGGACACTGCACACGTAATTTATTTTCCAAAATTCTAATAAAAGCATTAAGTCATAAGGAATTTGTAGGAAAAAGCATTCCCCTTAGGTAGTGTTTCGTTGAAGTTTTTGGTGGAGATGCCCATCTATTTGAGTTTGGGAATTGATGTTGTCTTTGTTTGGTTGAGAGTTTCTATAAATTTGTCTACCAATCTCTTTTGTCTAGCAATTGAGAATCAAGTGCAAAAATGCACAAAATGCACCATGGAAGTTTACCAACTTGAACATGGTATTGCATATATAGCTGGGCAAGTGAGAAAAAGGTGATAAAAATGATGACAATGTTATCTCTTTTAACCCAATTTTTCCTGTAAATTTTTTTTCAACCAAACAACTTTTTTTACATTTTCCTACCAAACTTACTTTCCAACCATTTCCCTATCAATCACATTTCCCTAGTATTCAAAAAATTTCTCCTCAACCAAACACCCCCTTAATGAAAAAAAAAAAAGAAAAAAAAAAAGGAAAAACTTCACAAATTCCCCTATGAGTTTTCTCAATTATCACTTACCCCCCTCACAAACTTTTTGAATCATTTACATCTTTATTTAAATTTTTTTTATCACTTACCTCCTTGTCTTAAAGTTTTTTTTATCACTTATCCCCTTCACTTAGGGGGTAAATGATAAAAAAAAATTAAGTCAAAGGGATAAATGATTTAAAATTTTGAGAAAGAGATAAATGATTATAAGGAAAGTTATAGGGGATTTTTGAAGTTTTCCCAAAAAAAAAATGTAGCAAGAGTGGCCAAACATCTCTTTAGGCTGAAATATATGTTAAAATTATGGGCTTTAATTTTCTCGGAGAAATTTTCCTACTCACACATGTTTAAGGTGGGTCCCACCATTAAGAAATAAAACAAATAAAAAAAATAAAAAAACAAACCATGTAGATCGAAATATGAGTGACATGAGAAACTATTTCCTCTAAAATTATACGGGTCTTGTTTATGTGTGCCTTTAGGACTCTGGTAAGGAATTAAAATAGAAACTATAAAATGAAAAGTAGAAGCATTTAGTATCTTTAAAATCCAAAAAGCATTTAATACAACATACACAAAGTACTGCCCAGTTCACCACCCGATATTTCAACTAGCTTCTAGTCTAATAACTAATTCAAACAAATTAAGCCAAGATCTTATATCTCAAAAAAACATAGCAAACCAATCAGTTCGGACAATCACACTGACCCCCATTTCACCGCCCAAATACTGCCCCAGTCAAATATTCACCACTTATGTCCTCAAAATGACATGTAAACTTCACCACCATTAACGTCGATGGCTGCAGTAAGGTGCAATTCAAGAAAATCAGAGTAGAGTTAAAATAAATTACTTACAAAAAAATCACTAGACGAGGAACCTAAAAATCAATAGACCTCCATTAAAGTCATGCAACATTTTAAAAAATGAAAATTTTATTTCATTATTAAATTTAAATTTGATATTTATTAACCAAGTAAACACCTCCCAACGAAAACTCCTTAACCAAAAACAATATCATTAAGTATGTCTAATGAAACTCGGGAGAGTGAATAAATAAATGCTGTTTAAGGCATGGAATGCAAGCATTATGAATTTATGACTAATGGGAACAAACCAACCCACTCAGAAACTATTTACCAAGGATGCATATCACGTTAACTAAATTTTAAGTATAACTCCCCAAGTATCCCAAATCAGCAGTGAGATGCACCCAAGCTGGAAGGTTACATATGAAACAAACCCCCACTGAATCTACACTACAATTAAGGATGCACCCAAATTAAAAAGTCAATATTTGATGGAGTTAGAGACCAACCCAGTTCCATTTTTAATAGAAGATACCATGTCCTACGTTAATTCAAGCTCTAAGAATTATTTCTTCCTCTTGAACATCAGTGATCTCTTAGACTTTGTTCCCCCCAACCATAAATTTCTTCTGAAGGGCCTAGCAATCATTACAACCAATCGCTTTACCCATAGTTTTAGGAAAGATCACATTTCAAGGAGAGGTGGTGGAAAAAAGACACATACGAAACACTATGAAGGTTTGTTTCTTAATATATCCAGAATTTTTAGTGGTAGTCACCTAAACATGAAAATCGAACGGTTTGTCACGACTCTTAAGTACAGAAACATTTGGAGTTTCCCAACACCACAAATAGATTATCAGTTTAGCACAGCTTACAGGAGCTACCCAAGTCCTACAACTGAATAAACCTAGCTTCACAATGATAGCTAAGACATCTAATGAATAATGTAATAAAAACAGCACTAGAACATCAAACATTTATCACCAAAAATATGTTACCCTACAGCAATAGATACTCACAGCATAAGATAAAAATTTGAACTGTCAAAAGCCAAAAATTTGTTTTAAATTAGATACAAAGAAAAAAAGAAAATACCTTAGATATTAAAAGAGTTGAGAGGTATTTTCTGACAGCCATCTTTTCAGAGATGCTTTCATAAATTTTCTTGAAGCTAAGAAGTTAAGAGAGAGAGAGAGAGAGAGATCACCTTTGCCAATCTATGATAGTAATCCCCGCAGATGGGGAGTTTTGAATCAGGTAATCCACTACTCCATCAGGTACAGGTGAAGACGCTTTCAATTTTGCTTTCTTTGATTTGGAAGATTTTGGTTGCTTTTCATAGGGAGGCTTCTTCACTTTCACTATCAATGACTTCAAGTTACTCAAGCAAGGGGCAGCAGTATTAGCATTCAACCAATCTGTGACTACGGAAAAAATCTACGCATCGAGAAGTAAATTAGACATATTAACATAAGAATCATTTAAATGACAAGACTGCGGTGTCAAAAATATTGGGTAAAAAATTTCATCAGGAGAGAATAATGATAATAAATAATGCACTTAAAACTAAATAAAGATACCTGAAGAGTACTTGAAGAGAGTGTTAATGTTCTTACGTTGGCAAATACATGCAGCCAACAATTTATGGTAAAAGCTGTTTCCAAGTAAGGTGTTATCCATTTACCAACATTAATATTTCTTTCTTTGATAGCTGATTCCAAGTAACATGATACCAACCGATCATCGACATCAATATTTACTTCTTTTACTAAAGAAAGAACACTGACAGAGAAAGAATGAAGGCTTCCAGAGATTTGCTGAGCAGGAATACCCGAGAAAACAAAAGAACAAAGGTTGGGAGTTGATAGCACAAGGCTGTAAGCTTGTCTTTCAAAAGCACGTACGGTCAAATTGATAAGAGTAGCATTTGAAATGCAGAGAGTTTGTGTATCCCTTACATCACAATTGTGAATGACCAAAGTCTTCAACTTAGTACATGACGTAAAGGGCTCCAGCAATTCACTGTCACCGAAGACAAAGTTATAAAGACGCAAACTTGTTAAAGCTGGCAAGTTTATAGATTTTGGAAATGAGTTAAATTTGCGGTAAACGGAAAGATCAAGTGATGTTAATGTCTGACAGAAAAATAAGCCAGGTGGCAAATCGAGATCGCAACTAACAGCGAGTTTTAATCGCTGGACATTATGAGATAAAGCATAACTCAAAACCCTTTTCACAAGTTGGGGAGTATTAATATCAGTATTTTGTTATTTTTCCTTATTTTGGTTATTTTGTTAGTTAGTGACTAGTATTCTGTTAATCAGTGAGTGATGTGTGCGTTTTGGTGACACACACTTGCACGTTCTCTTTCTGTTAGGAAAAGTTTGTTATTGGCCTTTCTGTTTTGGCCCTCTTTTTGCTTCAGGTTATATAGCCTTACATTGTATTCTTTTCTTTAATCAATGAAATGCAAATTCAGTTTTTCTTCAAGTTATGCTTCTCTAAAACTAATATGGTATCAGATGTTTTCTTCTAGCCCTTGCCTTCTCCATGGCTCGTGGCAGTAACAATACTCGTCCCCCCGACTGAGGCTTCATCCGGATCTTCTGTTTCCATGGATGATTCCTCCAGTCCTTACTTCTTGCAGAGTGGTGATCACCCGGGTTTGGTTCTTGTTACTCATACACTTTCTGGTTCAAATTTTAATTCATGGCTTCGTGCCATGACCCTTGCTCTCACTGCCAAGAATAAGCTGGCCTTTGTGGACGATTCTTTGCCTCGTCCCCCAGTTTCTGATCTTCTTTTTTCAGCCTGGAATCGTGGTAATTCCATGGTCATTTCTTGGTTGTTGAACTCAGTGAGCAAGGATATCGCCGATAGCCTTTTATATTTTTCTAATGCTTCTGAGGTCTGGTCTGATTTGAAGGCTCGTTATTCTCAAGCGAATGGGCCCAGGATTTTTCAATTGAAGCAGCAAATTTCTTCATTCTGTCAAGGTTCTCTTGATATTACCAGCTACTACACTAAGTTGAAGTCTCTTTGTGATGAGCTTCATGACTATCTGCCTCTTCCACGATGTACTTGTGGTACGCTTCGCGAGATGATTTCCAGGAATGATCAAGATCATGTTCTCCAGTTCTTAATTGGTCTAAATGATTCGTTTTCTGCTACACGTGCTCAGATTTTGCTTATTGACCCCTTGCCTCCTCTTGCCAAGGTTTTCTCTATGATCCTTCAAGAGGAACGCCAGCGTCAACTCTCTGTGTCCTTATCTGTTCCTGTTGTTCCGGACACACCATTGATGAATTCTGTTTCTGATGCTTCTCCAGCATCCATGGCCGTTGCTGCTCCACGCCGTTCACGCCCAGTGTGCACTTACTGCAATTTAACGGGTCATACCCGTGAGAAGTGCTTCAAACTTCACGGGTATCCCCCAGGTTACAAACCAAAACAGCCTAGGCCCATTCCCTATTCAGCCTCACCTCAGGCCCATACCCATCCCTCTGTTCATTGCATGACACGTAATTTCCACTTGTCATCCCCACCTTCTTCCCACCTTTCTTCCCAACCTAATTCCCAATTTCACTCTGCACCACCGACACACCTGCACCCTTCCGCTGCCGATGCCTCTCTTGCCTTCACGCCCACCCAATATAATCAGTTGCTTTCGCTTCTACATCAGAGTTCTGCTTCTTCCTCGGTTGCTTCTTCTGTTGCTGACTCGTCTCCTTCCGTGGCGAGCTTAAGTGGTAAATCTCCCCTTTCTTTTCCTTCTTCTTGCTGGATAATTGACACTGGTGCTACGCACCATGTGTGTGTGTCTCCTGATTTTTTACATGATTCTACTCCTTCTTTTTCATCTGTTGCTTTCCCTAATGGCTCATCTGCCGTTGTCTCTGCTGTTGGCTCCGTTTTGTTGTCCAACTCACTGTCTCTTCTTAATGTGCTTTGTGTTCCTACCTTCTTTTTCAACCTGTTATCCATAGGTGCATTAACCAGGGACTCTCCCATCATTGCTTATTTTTCCTCCTCTTTTTGTTTTCTTCAGGACCGTGTTTCAACTCAGATGATTGGAATTGCTAAGAGATGTGGTGATCTCTACATTTTGGATAGTAAATGTCTTCTTCCCATTGTTGATGTTCCCCCTCCCCTGTGTTTTTCCTTAACTGTTCGAGACCCCATACTATGGCATTCTCGGCTTGGTCATTTGTCTGTCAATGTTTTGAATTCAATGAAAGGTTCCCTTGGTTTTTCTGATGCTTTGCATGTTTCTCATCATTGTTCCATTTGTCCCTTAGCCAAACAAAAACGGCTTCCCTTCATTTTAAATCCTACACTTTCTGCATTGCCTTTTGATTTAGTGCATTTTGATATTTGGGGACCATTTCACACCCCATCTGTCGAAGGATCAAAATATTTTTTAACCATTGTGGATGATTGCACACGTTTCACATGGACATATTTTTTAAAAACTAAATCTGAGTTTTCTACTGTTTTTCCAGCTTTTCACACCTTAATTCATACTCAATATGGCATTCTAATTAAATCCATTAGGTGTGACAATGCTCTTGAATTCAATTTATCCTCCTTTTATTCATCTCATGGTATTCAAGTGTTTCACTCCTGTGTGAACCGTCCTCAACAGAACTCTGTTGTAGAAAGAAAGCACCAGCACCTGCTCAATGTGGCCCGTGCCTTACATTTCCAGTCCCAAGTACCCTTACCTTATTGGCAGGATTGTGTTCTTACTGCTGTCTACCTCATAAACCGCACTCCTTCCCCTCTCCTTGCTTCTAAGACACCATTTGAACTCCTTTCACATAGAGCCCCATCATATGCTCACCTTCGTGTGTTTGGCTGCCTTTGTTATAGCTCCACACTTCCTCACCACCGCCATAAATTTTCGCCCCGTGCTTCCCCTGCCATTTTTTTGGGTTATCCCACTGGTTATAAGGGATATAAACTTTTAGACATCCAATCCAACTCCATTTATATTTCCCGTGATGTAACTTTTTTTGAAAACATTTTTCCCTATACCTTCAACTTATCCTCCACATCCTTTCACACAGAATTTTTGACACTGCCACCTTCTTTGCCTCTATCTACTTCTCCTATAGCTTCTGATATTTCTCCCTCTAACCACTCCTTGAGGTCTCAAAGGCTTCGACATCCCCCTGCTAAGCTTGCTGATTATGTGTGCTCATCTTCCACTCAACACCCCCTGACCAATTTCATTTCTTATCATCGGGTGTCTCCCTTACATAAGGCCTTTGTGAATTCGGTCTCCTCTCACTTCGAGCCAACCTCTTATTCTGAGGCTTCCCAATTACATGAGTGGCAGGCAGCAATGGATTCTGAGTTATCAGCTCTTGAATTGAACAAAACATGGAATGTTGTGTCTCTTCCTAAGGACAAGCATGTTGTTGGATGTCGTTGGGTTTACAAGGTCAAATACCATTCAGACGGCTCTCTTGAACGTTACAAGGCTCGTTTGGTGGCCAAGGGGTTTACACAACAGGAAGGTATTGATTTCATGGATACTTTTTCTCCTGTTGCTAAATTAACTTCTGTCTGAATCATTCTTGCCTTGGCTGCTATTTTTAACTGGACCTTAATTAAATTGGATGTAAATAATGCTTTCCTTCATGGGGAATTGTTTGAAGAGGTTTACATGCAGTTACCTCCTGGCTATTACTCTCGGGTTTCTCCTCTTCCACCTAATGCTGTTTGTCGTCTTCATAAGTCTTTGTGTGGGCTTCGCCAAGCTTCTCGCCAATGGTTTGCTAAGTTTTCATCTACATTATTACAGCTTGGTTTTCAACAGTCCCAATCTGATAATTCCTTGTTTGTCAAGTCTGATGCTTCTTTTTTTACTGCTATTTTGGTGTATGTTGATGACATCATAGTGGCATCTAACAACCCTTCTCATGTTCAGACTCTTACTGCTGTATTAAATGATACATTTCGTCTTAAGAATCTGGGCAATTTAAAATTTTTTCTTGGTATAGAGGTAGCTCGAAGCACCAAGGGCATCACCATTTGTCAAAGACAGTATGCTCTACAAATTCTCAAGGATTCAGGTTATTTGGGTTGCAAGCCTCGAAGCACCCCTATGGATGTTGGTCTTAAACTCTCCTTAAATTCTGGGGAATTGATCCCTGACCCTGCTATCTATCGAAGGCTGATTGGTCGTCTCATTTATCTCACCATTACTCGGCCTGATCTTTCTTATGCAGTGAATCATCTTAGCCAGTTTATGGCTTCTCCTCGTCTCCCTCATTTACAGGCTGCTTATAGGTTGCTTGGTTATTTGAAACAAACAATTGGGCAGGGTCTGTTCTTCTCTTCATCTTCTCATATTCATCTCAATGCTTTTTGTGACTCAGATTGGGCAACCTGCCCTGATAGTAGACGTTCGGTTACTGGTTACTGCATTTTTATTGGTGATTCTTTGGTATCATGGAAGTCCAAGAAGCAACCGACTGTGTCTCGTTCTTCCACCGAGGCTGAGTATCGTTCCATGGCCAATGTCACTTGTGAGTTGCTGTGGATTTTATCGCTTCTTAAGGACCTTCATGTTCTTCATTCTGCTCCAGCTCATCTTTTCTGTGACAACCAGTCTGCCTTGCATCTTGCGGCCAATCCTGTTTTCCATGAACGGACAAAACACATTGAAATTGATTGTCACCTTGTTAGGGAGCACATTCTCAAGGGCCATTTGAAGACTTTTCCCATCCCTTCTAAGCAACTTGCAGACATTCTCACCAAACCCTTACTGCCTTCTCAATTTTCTGTTTTGTTATCCAAGATGGGAGTTTTGAACATTTACTCTCCATCTTGAGGGGGGCTATTAATATCAGTATTTTGTTATTTTTCCTTATTTTGGTTATTTTGTTAGTTAGTGACTAGTATTCTGTTAATCAATGAGTGATGTGTGCGTTTTGGTGACACACACTTGCACGTTCTCTTTCTGTTAGGAAAAGTTTGTTATTGGCCTTTCTGTTTTGGCCCTCTTTTTGCTTCGGGTTATATAGCCTTACATTGTATTCTTTTCTTTAATCAATGAAATGCAAATTCAGTTTTTCTTCAAGTTATGCTTCTCTAAAACTAATAGGGAGTAACACTACCATTAACATCGAAGTCAAAATGGTGGACTGGAACAGAGTAATCACGGAAAGATAGAACCTTAGGCACAAATTTGTTGAAAAGTGCCTTTAATCCGAAATGTGAGGAATGTAAAATGAGCGTAGGAAGCTGCTTCCAGAGGTTTTTCCATCTTCTTGACAACACGCAAGTTCGAACAGCGTCTTTTGTTGGTACAAATGACATCAAGTGAATGAGAACGCAATCAGTCAAATCACTGAGTCCGTCTTCATTGTTCTCACTCTGTTTTGCTCTCTTCATGTTGGGTTCTTCACTCTCATTCTCTACCACTCCCATCTCACTCGCACAAACAAGCATTCAGGATTAACAAAACTACACGGAAAGTGAAAAACCTAAGAATTGAAACTCATTATTTTCTCAAATCAAAATGAAAGTAGAAATAAAATACCTTGTGTAGTTCCTAACGCAGTGAATGCCCTCCTATTAATCAATGAAATTGAAACCCTTTTCACCCTTTCAAATCCAGTGAATGACCTCCGAAACAGGATTGTGGTTTTTATTTTTTTTCTTATTAGAACTGTTTAGTAAAGTAGTTATGAGAATGGGATAGGATGCTATAATAACCTTATTATCAATATTACTATTAATTAATTTTATTGTTGATTAATTATATTGTTATATATTTATTTTTATCTTTGTATTGTTATAATTTCTTATATTTAATACTTTATATTTATTTCTATCTTTATATGATTATAATTTTTCATATTTAATGCTTTCACTTTAAATAACCATACAAGATGAAAATAAATATAACTGTCATATTAACATAATCGATCAATGAAATTGATTAGTACTAATATTAGTAATAACATTATTTGAATGTTACAATATCCTTTCCCAGGAAAATGAATATTTTTTGTTTTTATTTTTTTAAAATTAAAAGTCAAAGTACAAAATAAAAAATAATAATTATAAAATAATTATATAATAAATCTTAATAAACGATTTTATTTTTCTAAAACCAAAAAAAAAAATTAAATTTTTTTTTCAAACATGTCCTATGCCAAACGTAACATGTCGGAACAGTGACCATTTTGCCACGCTTGGCAAAAAAATTTACCAAACTGCCACGTCAACAGTAAATTTTGCCAAAATACCGTGCGGCATATTTCGCTACACTGTGTAGTGAAATACGTTTGCAAGTAAGTTGTTACACAGTGTAGCGAAATATGCACAGTCAGCAAAAAATGACACGTGTCAAGCAGGCAGAATTCAAGCATAATTCGCTACACAGTGTACAGATTTTTGCTTGCTTGACACGTGTCATTTTTGTTGACTGTGCATTCTGACATGACATATTTCGCTACACTGTGTAGCGAATTACTTGCAAACATATTTTACTACACAGTGTAGCGAAATATGCCGCGTGGCATTTTGGCAAAATTTACTGTTGACGTGGCAGTCTAGTAAATTTTTTTGTCAAGTGTGGCAAAATAGTCGCTCTTCCTAACATGCCCCTTTAATTAAAGTGATTTTTATTAAATTTACAAAAAGAGCCAAATGCCAAACGTCATAAGCCAAAACTACAAATTTCTTGATGAATTTATCTCATATATCATTTTATAATCAGGCAATGATCAAGCCAAAAAGTCTCTTTAATTTCTTGTCTTGAAAATAATTTCCCATTTTTAAAATTAAGATCAAGGGAAAGATATACTTACCATCAAAAAAATTTATTACCCTTTCAACTAACTTAATCATCGTTGATTTCCATCAATCTAACAGTTATATTTTATTGGAAATTATTGGGTTGTACTTATTAATTAATTATCAATTCTCAAAAAATTATAATCGTTAAATTGACGAAAATCAACAATAATTAAATTAGTTATAAATGTAATAAATATTTTTGGTGATAAGTATATCTTACCCCTTATTTTGTAAAAGTTAAATGACAATAAGAATAATTTGTATTGGGATAGGTTTTGTGCTCGCTTTCAGTTATATCCGACCTTTAGATGTCATCATTATGTGTTAAACTTTCTCTTACTCTTATTTATATGGTTTAATAATTCAGCACAAGGGGATTTTGTTTATACTGTATTTAACCCTGCATTATTTTACTCTTCTTCTTCTTTTCTTTTTTTTCTTTTTTATTAAACAATTAGTTTACTCTTCTGACTTTTGGCATTTGGCTCTTTTTGTAAATTTAATTTTTTTAAAAATTAATTTGGTTAAAATCTCGTTACAATTATTTTTTATATTCCTAAGATCAATCATGTGGCACTTCACAAATTTTTGGATAAACTAAATAATGAAAGAAATTTTGATTGTATTGTTAAAAACCCTTATAAAGCTAGAGGAAAGGAACATCATAATATAAAGGGTAGAATCAACATATTTATCAAATTTTCAACAGTAGTAAGTAAGGACTTAGATGGAAAATATTATAAGAGGGTAAATAATAAAAAAGAAAAAGAAATCATGGGACATGATTCAAAGAGAATCCATGGGGGGTTTTGAACTTTTCCTCAATTAAAAATTGAATTAACGGTTATCATTTATTTATTCTTTTATCTTATATTTTTTTAATATTTTGTCTCATCATATTTGTCTCTCCGGTTAAGTAAAATAATACAGAAGAAGATACACTTCCCATATCATTTAATTAAAAACGATTCATTATTTGTATCAAAATAAATAATAATAAAAAGACTCATTATCACACTTTCCAAATTTTAACGATAAGGTATGTTGCTTGCCGTCGATTTCGTCCTAATTAGCTGGCTGCAAATGCTTGCTAGTGTAAGATAATTGATGGTCCATTTAAGTATTATTTACAAATTTTAAATTGCATCATTATCATTCTTAATTAAAAAATTAATATGCTCAATTAATAAATGAGTTAAATCTGTTGTAAAACAAAAGATCAAGAGGTGTTCAAGTCTGACAAAACAAGTTGTCAAATTAAGATCACAATTAACAGAGAATTTTAATTGTTGGACATTACGCAATACAACATATCTCAAAATCTGTTTTAGAAGTTGGGGAAAAACAGGATCGTTATATTTAAAGTCAAGAAATAGAATTAGAGCCATCACAAAAAGACATAACCTTAGATATAAATTGGTCGAGAAACGTCATTCGTTGAAATGAAAGTTTAAGATTGGTATGAGGTTTCAACATCCTCTCCCTACTACTAGACATCTAACAAGCACAGACACGTTAATTGTTGCAAAATTTGCGTGTCGGACACGTGTCGGGTGACCGACACGTTGCGACACGCGGTCAATATTTTAGGACACGTGGTCAATTTTCTGACACGTTTTTTCGACACACAATCAACTTTTTCTGACACGCGGTCAACGGTCCGACACACATCCGACACGTTTTTTTTTAGGTCTTAATTTTAATTTTATTAATTAAACATAAAAAAATAATTTATAAATCAATTTTTTTTTATATAAAATTTGACATGAAAAATTAATAAAGTACGAAAAATTATTTTTTTTATATCTGTGTTATAAAATTTGAATATTTGATTGATTATATGACTTATTATGAGCTGTTATATGTATTAAATATAAATTATATTATATATATTAAAAATATTATTTTATATTAAAACGTGTCCAACGTGTCAAAATATGACATTTTTTAAAATTGACGTGTCGGCATGTCGTGTCAGTATCCGTACATCATAGCTAGACATGCATTATGCATTTCTATTCCATCGTTCTCTCTCAACTTCTCAAAGGTTATTGGCTAGCCAAATCATATAATCAATTGGAAAGGTAATTCAACATGCACACCATTAATGTTTCATTTCAAGATGATGCCTAATTTCATTGTTTAATAAAGAACAATTCATGTACTATGTTTCATCAAATCTAACTATTCTTTCTTTTGCTTTTGCCCATCAGCCTTCAATAACATCAATATTAATATTTGTTCCAGCAACCGATAGATTGCTTTTGAAGTGAATAAATTAATATAAACAAGAGTATTTCCTAGTCTAGCTAGAGATCATAATTTAGGCTGAAATTACATGTTTCAGACAGTCAAAGTTAATAGTATGCTTTCTTAAATTCACAAGTATTTTGATAAGCTAATTTTGCAAACAAATGGATAATTTAGCCATAGATTGTAACAACCAACAGCATAGGGGGAGGAAAAGCGAAACACAGAAAGCAAGAAAAAAAATTGAATCTTTATTTAAAAAGTACAACTTAAATGTGCATAGCTCCTTTACAATTTATGACTGTACGTTTGTAACCTCACAAAAAGGGGAGTTTCGAACACTGTAGTCCACTACTCACAGGTGAAGACGGTTTGAATTCCGCTTTCCTTGACTTAGCAGCTTTTCTTGGCTTGGGGAATAGAGGTTTTACATTACCTATCAACGACTTAAGTTATGGGCCCAAGCAAGGGGGTTCAATATTCAATAAAACCAGGATCAAGAAGAGAACCTACGCAAAGAGGCATCAATTAGAGAAATTAACTTGATAATTTTTTTAATCAAAATTGAGCTATGGTAGACAATTTGGCACAAAAATGCATAAGTGAAAATGAGAATTATGCGCTTAAAACTTTTTAAACGAAGATACCTAAAGAGTACATGAAGAGAGCGTCAATGATCTTACATTAGCAAGCATGCTAATTAGGAGGGAAACTTACCGCAAGCAACATGCCTTAACATCAACATTGATATTTACTTATTTTAAGAACAGAAAGATTGCTTGCAGAAAGTTGCTGAGCAGCAACACCCGAAAAATCAAAAGAACGAAGATTTGGAGTAGGTACTGCTCTGTTAAAACCTTTCTGATAAACTGGGGAAGCATGTATGGTCAAATTGACAAGCATGGTGTTGCGCTAACGTTTATGCAAGTAGCGCGCAAGTATACGCTACAACAAGTAATATATGGCGTATTTGAGACCCTAGTTCTCACAAGGATCATTTGGCATTTTTGACTTGACTAAAATTTGCAATTGCTATTACTGAATCTAATCTAAAAAGAATTAAAAACAAAAATAAAATAAAAGCAAAACTAATCTAAAATAGCACTGACTGTATTTTTTTTTATAATTTTCTGAATTAATTTCTTGACCTAAAGGATGAAAAATAGTACGAAATCAATTTAAGTATCTGATGTAAAAAGATTTTTAGATAACAAAAAATTTGTAAAAGCAGAATGATGATAGAAAAATTAGAAATAAGAGGAACAGAAAAATGAGTTTGTAAAAATGTTTGGAAAAATAGGTTGAGCTTCGGTTTACCTTTCCCAACAGCAATGGAATGAATGACAATAACATATTATTAAAATTCAATTCCCAGTTAACGGATCACTTCTTGATGATTTTAATATCTTAAAATCATTTTATCCTAAACAATCATTTACACATCTCTATGCTAAATGAAGCAAGGACTCATACATTTCAAGTCCAAAATTACATGGTGACTGTCCTCGTCTCTAAGTGACAACCCTTGAATGCTCTCACAATCAAGTCCATGTGCTTAACACATTTCCAAAATTAGTCACCTCTCAATGACTACTTCCTAACATAATATCTACCATCAGGCCTCAATGACAGAATATTTCATTATAAAGCAAAGTATTAAACAACTGAGAATCAAAGTTTAACAAAAGTAATTAACAAACATCAATTATTGAGCTTTTTTTATTGTTCGGGATTAAAATGTGCCTCGTGAAAATTGTCAGGGACGAAAAAGAGTATTTACTTTATATTTTATCTTTCAGAAAAATGTAGTATTATGCAGGCATCAAAAGTTTTGTGCAGTACTTTATATTTTACTTTCAAGACTTAGATGCAGTATATTTTCCTTCACTAGGTAGCGGAAGAACTTAAAGCTATGTGCAGTACTTTATGAATATGAAAATGATATTGTATTGACATGTCATATTGAAACCTGCTGATAGTGCAATCCAACAGTATTGTTATTTAATTGTGTGTTCCAGTCGTGCGCAATGAGGGGAATAAGAAAGAGGTCAACTTGGGGAATTGGCTAGTAACACATTGCAGGCGAGACAGATGGGAATTTCAGTTGAAGAGTGAAGTAAGAAAAAAAGAAAAAGAAAAAATGAGGGGAAGTGAGTCAGATATGTATACACTGAAAGTCTGGGAAGGAGGAAACAAGCTTTTAGGGACGTTTGATTCAGGAAATTTTTTTGGAATAGTAGGAAAATGAGATAGATAGATAAATGATTGAAAAGATAGATAAAGTGAGATAGGTAGAAAAATGTAAAAAAAAGTTATTTGGTGGAGAAAAACTTTAGTGGAAAAATTAGGTAACTTTATGAAATCAACAGTGCATTAAAAGCCAGATAACCGGTTTTCCAAAAAATCCCACCTTCAAATTGGGTTTCTAAACAGTGCGGATATCTATCTTTCTCATAAATCCAGACAAATTGGATAGATGAGTTTTTGGTGAAAAACGTTGAAACAAACATGGTATTTCTAAAAGTCATACTTGAGAAACATAGATATTCTCTAAAAATCTTCCAACCAAACACGACCTTATCTTCTTCTGTTTGAATGAATTTTTTTGTACAAATCCTCATCCTAATACTGATAACAGTACTTTTTGTAGCAGAGGCAAGTTCAGCGAGTTTGTGTATTCTGTTTCCAGATGCCATCATGTTTCCAACTGTAATCTATTGGAATAAGTTGTTAAATGGACACCCAACTATTGATTTATATATCTGATACACCTCCTCACGCTTGAGGTTTGAATCATGGACACAGGACACGTAATTTATTTTCCTAAATTTTGATAAAAGCATTAAGTCATAAGGAATTTGTGGGAAAAAGCATTCCCCTTAATGAAAATCAAAAAAATAAATTAAAAAATGGAGCAAGGATGGCTAATCCATATCCGTTTAGGGTGAAATTTATATTAAAATTGTACGGGTTTTGTTTTTGTCTGCCTTTAGGACTCTGGTAAAGGAATTAAAATAGAAACTATTCAATGAAAAGTAGAAGCATAAATCTGGATTATCTTCCCTTGATCAATGAGTGAGAAAGCAAGAGACATTTAGCATCTTTAAAATCCAAAAAGCATTTAATACAACTAACAAAGTACTGCCCAGTTCACCACCCAATATTTCAACTAGCTTCTGGTCTAATTCAAACAAATTAAGACAAGATCTTATATCTCAGCAAAACATTGCAAACCAATCAGTTCGGACAATCACACTAACTCCCATTTCACCGCCCAAATACTGCCCAGTCAAATATTCACCAGTTATATCCTCAAAATGGCATGTAAACTTCAACAAAACAAACGTCGATGGCTGCAGTACGATGCAATTCAAGAAAATAAGAGAAGAGTTAAAATAAATCCATCAATTACAAAAAAATCATTAGACGAAAATAAAGGAACCTAAAAATCAATAGACAACCATTAAAGTCAAGCAACCTTTTAAAAAATGAAAATTTAATTCCTTATTAAATTTAAATTTAATATTTGTTAACCAAGTAAACACCTCCCAATGAAAACTCCTTAACCAAAAACAAAATTATTAAGTATATGTGTATTGAAACTCGGGAGAGAGAATATATAAATGCAGTTTAAGGCATGGATTGCAAGCATTAAGAATTTATGACTAATGGGAACAAACCAACCCACTCAGAAACTATTTACCAAGGATGCATATTACATTAACTAAAATTTAAGTACCCACTAGGATTAATTTTGTATTCAATCACAAGTATTGTAAGAATATATGCCGTGCATATCTTAAGTATAACCCCCCAAATACCCCTAATCAGCAGTGAGATGCACCCAAGCTGGAAGGTTACACATTAACAAACCCCCACTGAATCTACACTACGATTAAGGATGCACCCAAATTGAAAAGTCAATATTTGATGGAGTTAGAGACCAACCCGATTCCATTTTTTAATGTAAGATATCATGTCCTACGTTTCTTCAGGCTCTAAAATTATTTCTTTGTCTTGAACATCACTGACCTCTTAGACTTTGCTTCCACCAACCATAAATTTCTTCTGAAGGGATTAGCAATCATTACAACCAATCACTTACCTATAGTTTTAGAAAAGATCACATTTCAAGAAGAGAAGGTGGAAAAACGACACATAACTAAGAAGTTTTGTTTGTTAATATATCCAGAATTTTTAGTGGTATTCACCTAAACATGAAAATTGAACGGTTTGTCATAACTCTTGAGTACAGAAACATTTGGAGTTTTCCAACACCACAAATAGATTATCTGGTCAGCTCAGCTTACAGGAGCTACTCAAACAAGCAATTAAGTTCTACAACTAAATAAACTTAGCTTCACAATGATAGCTAAGACATCTAATGAATAGTGTAATACAAACAGCACTACAACATTTATCACCAACAATATGTTACCCTACAGCAATAGATACTCACAGCTTAAGATAAAAATTTGTACTGACAAAAGTCGATAATTTGTTCTAAATTAGATACAAGGAAACAAAGAAAATATCTTGGATATTAAAAAATGTTAAGAGGTATTTTTCTGGCAGCCATTTTTTCAGAGATGCTTTCTTAAATTTTCTTCTAACTAACAAGTAAAGAGAGAGAAAGAGAGAGGAGGGGGCGAGGGGGAACAAAGAAAGAAGGAAAAAGAATGAATCTCTACTCAAAGGACTTAAATGTGCCTATCACCTTTGCAAATCTATGATGGTAACCCGCGCAGATGAGGAGTTTTGAATCAGGTAATCCACTACACCCTCAGGCACAGGAGAATACGGTTTCAATTTTGCTTTCCTTGATTTGGAAGCTTTTCGTGGCTTTTGATAGGGAGGCTCCTTCACTTTCACTATCAATGACTTCAAGTTACTCAAGCAAGGGGCGGAAGTATTAGTATTCAACCAATCTGTGACTAGGGAGAAAATCTACCGAACGAGAGATAAATTAGACGTATTAACATAAGAATCATTTAAATGACAAGATTGCAGTGTCAAAAATATTGGGTAAAAAATTTCACCAGGAGAGAATAATGATAATAAATAATGTACTTAAAAACTAAATAAAGATACCTGAAGAGTACTTGAAGAGAGTGTTAATGTTCTTACGTTGGCAAATGTATGCAGCCAACAATTCATGGTAAAAGCTGTTTCCAAGTAAGATGTTGCCCATTCACCAACATTAATATTTCCTCCTTTGAAAGCTGATTCCAAGTAACGTGATACGAACCAATTATCAACATCAATATTTACTTCTTTAACTAAAGAAAGAACGCTGACGGAGAAAGAGATTTGCTGAGCAGGAATACCCGAGAAAACAAAAGAACAAAGGTTGGGAGTTGATAGCACAAGGCTGTAAGCTTGACTTATAATAGAACATACAGTCATATTGACAAGAGTGGCATTTGAAATGCAAAGAGTTTGTGTATCCCTTACATCACAATTGTCAATGACCAAAGTCTTCATCTTAGTACATGACGAAAAGGGCTCCAGCAATTCACCGTCACCGAAGACAAAGTTATGAAGACGCAAACTAGTTAAAGCTGGCAAGTTCAGAGATTTTGGAAGTGAGTTAAATCTGCTGTTAACGGAAAGATCAAGTGATGTTAATGTCTGACAGAAAAATAAGCTACGTGGCAAATCGAGATCACAATCAACAGAGAGTTTTAATTGCTGGACATTATGCGATAAAGCATATCTCAAAACCCTTTTCACAAGTTGGGGAGGAACACGACCACTAACATCGAAGTCAAAATGGTGGACTGGAACAGAGTAATCACGGAAAGAGAGAACCCTAGGCACAAATTTGTAGAAAAGTGCCTTTAATCCGAAATGTGAGGAATGTAAAATGAGCGAAGGAAGCTGCTTCCAGAGGTTTTTCCATCTTCTTGACAACACGCAAGTTCGAATAGCGTCTTTTGTTGGTACAAATGACATCAAGTGAATGAGAACGCAATCAGGCAAATCACTGAGCCTGTCTTCATTGTTCTCACTCTGTTTTGCTCTCTTCATGTTGGGTTCTTCACTCTCATTCTCTACCACTCCCATCTCACTCGCACAAACCAGCATTCAAGATTAACAAATCTACACGGAAAGTGAAAAACCTAAGAATTGAAACTCATTATTTTCTCAAATCAAAATGAAAGTATAAATAAAATACCTTTGAGTAGCTCCAAACGCAGTAAATGCTCTCCAGAACCTAATTTTTTTTTTTTCTTACTCAAAGAAATTGAAAGCCTTTTCTACCTTTCAAATCCAGTGAATAACCTTCGAATTCCGAAACCTAATTTTTTAAAAAACCTAAAGAAATCGAAACCCTTATCTACTTTTCTTGCCCTTCATTTTAGCCGGAAGAGAAGCTTAAAAATCGGTCCGGTTTATTTTAACAAAAGATTTAAAAAATAGTAACTGCCCTTCTTGGGCTACTCCCGTGTGTGAAATTAGGCCCCAACAGCGTTATGCATTATGCATTATGCTTTTCCATTCCACCACTCTCTGAACTTCTCTTCATTACACAACTACCCACTAAACATAGCATCACACCATTAATCACTTGTTAAACTACCCACTATGCATTTCCTATATGCTAAAATAAGGTCATTCCATCTTCTAGACATGATGCAAATTTGAACAATATCTTTTGTTAGCGTAAATGACACTAAATGAATGAGAATACAATCCGACTAATCACTTTCATTGTTCTCTTCTCACCATTCTTTATTCAACTTCATATTGGGTTCTTCAGTATCATTCTTCACCATTCCTATCTCAACTCTTAGAAATACGGGATAAGGAATTATAGTGAAGCAATATGTTTTCGAGATTTTGGGAACAAGGAAACATATCCCTGTTTTTTCCTTTTCTGTTTCAATGAATTTTTGTACAATGCTTCGTCCGAATACTGATATCATCATAATTCTGTATACTGATAGCATGGACTGTGCACACGTACATTTTAACTTTATGCTGATTTTTTTTTTTTTTTTTAATTCTGATAAAAGCATTAAGAAGATTACGAGGAATTTGTAGGTTAAGGCATTCTCCACGATGAAAATCAAAGAAAAAAAAAATCATTCGAGCAAGGCTGGCCCATAAGTCAAAGAAAAAAAGAAAGAAAGACAATACTGAAACAATTTTCTACAACGAATTACCAAAACCTAGCAATTAATCGAGTGGAATTGAATAGAACAAAATGGAAGAAGAAATAGAAATTCCTTGGGCTTCTCATTTTCAATTAGCTCACACGCAAACGTGTGTGTAGATCTCCAAACCCAATCCATACAAAGATAGTTAAAGGTATCATTAAAACGAAATAAGTAACAAATTACAATCCCTTAAAATTACAAAAATATATCAATAATAAAAGTAATCATAAACAAATGTTTCAAATACATCATGAGATAGGGGTGTAGGAAGGGGAAAAGGATGGGGATGGGGATGAATCATCTCCAGGTAAAGAAGACTCTACAGAGTCTTCTTCTTCTTCCTCTTTCTCTGCTTCTTCTTCTCCTTCTCCTTCTCCTTCTCCTTCTCCATCTTTTCCAGCTTCAACTTATTATCCATATGTTCCATTTTCTCCTTTAGCTCCTGCAGGTCGGCCTCAAATTTAGACATCACCGTTTGCATCATATTATCCATATGTTCCCTTTTCTCCTTTAGCTCCTGCAGGTCGGCCTCAAATTTAGAAATCACCGTTCGCATTTCGGCGAGTTCATCTGCAAATACATCATGACTTAGGTCAATTATTTTGTATTTAATTTAAATGGACTAGGGAGTGAAAAATTTAAACAATAAACTGTATGCCTTTACCTTCATAAACACCTGCAAGCTGGCTGGACGGAAGCTTGGTACTCTTCAAGTAGCTGACAAATGCTCCGTTTGGGATAAAGGTATTGTTAATGTTACTTAAATTTAAATTTTATATTTATTAACCAAGTAAAGACCTCCCAATGAAAACTCCTTAACCAAAAACAAAATTAAGAATATCTATTAAAACTCCGGGAGAGAGCATACAAAAATGCAGTTTAAGGCATGGATTGCAGGCATTATGACTAATGGGAACAAACCAACCACTCAAACTATTTACCAAGGATGCATATCACATTAACTAAATTTTAAGTACCCACTAGCATTAACTTTGTATTCAATCACATGTATCACAAGAAGATATGTCGTGCATATCTTAAGTATAACTCCCCAAAGTATCCCTAATCAGCAGTGAGAAACAAACCCCCACTGAATCTTCACTACAATTAAGGATTCATCCAAATTAAAAATTCAATATTTCATGGAATTAGAGACCAACCCAATCCAGATTTTTTATATAGAAGATATCATGTCCTACGTTTCCTCAGGCTTGAAGAATTATTTCTTCCTCTTGAACATCACTGACCTCTTAGACTTTGTTTCCCCCAACCATAAATTTCTTCTGAAGGGACTAGCTAGCAATCATTACAACCAATAACTTACCCATAGTTTTAGAAAGATCACATTTCAAGAAGAGCAGCTGGAAAAAAGACACAAACACACACACATACAAAACACTACCGGGGCGGGGGAGACAAAGTAACTAGTAAGAAAGAAAAAAAATGAATCTCTGCTCAAAGGACTCAAATGTGCTTATCACCTTTGAGAATCTATGATAGTAATCCCCACAGATGGGGAGTCTTGAATCAGGTAATCCACTACTTCTTCAGGTACAGGTGAATACGGTTTCAATTGTGCTTTCCTTGATTTGGAAGCTTTTTGTGGCTTTTGATAGGGAGGCTTCTTCACTTTCACTATCAATGACATCAATTTACTCATGGAAGGGGCCATCTTCACATAATCTGAGATTATGGAGAAAATCTATGCAACAAGAGAATTTAATGACAAGATTGCGGTATAAAAAATATTGGGTAAAAAATTTCATCAGGAGAGAATAATGAAAATGAATAATGCACTTAAAACTATAAAGATACCTGAAGAGTACTTGAAGAGAGTGTTAATGTTGTTACGTTGGCAAATACTTGCAGCCAACAATTCATGGTAAAAGCTGTTTCCAGGTAAGGGGATTCATCAACATTAATATTTTCTTCTTTAAGAGCTACTGATTCCAAGTAACTTGATACGAACCAATCGTCGACATCAATATTTACTTCTTTAACTAAAGAAAGAACGCTGAGAGACCAAGAATGAAGGCTACCAGAGATTTGCTGGGCAGGAACACCCGAGAAAACAAAAGAGCAAAGGTTGGGAGTTGATAGCACAAGGCTGTAAGCTTGGTGGGTACTATCATGTACGGTCAAATTGACAAGAGTAGCATTTGAAATGCAGAGCGTTTGTGTATCCATTACATCACAATTGTGAATGACCAAAGTCATCAACTTAGTACATGACGAAAAGGGTTCCAGCAATTCACTGTCACCAAAGACGAAGTTATAAAGACGCAAACTAGTTAAAGCTGGCAAGTTCAGAGACGTTGGAAATGAGTTAAATCTGTTGAAAACTGAAAGATCAAGTGATGTTAATGTCTGACAGAAAAACAAGCCAGGTGGCAAATAGATATTACAATTAACAGCGAGTTTTAATCGCTGGACATTATGCGATAAAACATAACTCAAAAAACTTTTCACAAGTTGGGGAGGAACACGCCAATTAGCATAGAAGTCAAAATGGTGGACTGGAACAGAGTCATCACGGAAAGATAGAACCTTTGGCACAAATTTGTTGAAAAGTGCCTTTAATCCGAAATGTGAGGAATGTAAAATGAGCGTAGGAAGCCGCTTCCAGAGGTTTTTCCATCTTCTTGACAACACGCAAGTTCGAACAGCGTCTTTTGTTGGTACAAATGACATCAAGTGAATGAGGACGCAATCAGGCAAATCACTGAGCCTGTCTTCATTGTTCTCACTCTGCTTTGCTCTCTTCACGTTGGGTTCTTCAATCTCATTCTCTACCACTTCTCCCATCTTACTCGCACAAACCAGAATTCGAGATTAACAAATCTACACGGAAAGTGAAAAACCTAAGAATGGAAACTCGGTATTTTCTCAAATCAAAATGAAAGTAGAAATAAAATACCTTGTGCAGCTCTAAACGCAGTGAATTCCATTCAGAACCTAATTTTTTTTTCTTACTCAAAGAAATTGAAAGCCATTTCTACCTTTCAAATCCAGTGCATGACCTCCGTAACCTAATTTTTTTAAAACCGAAAGAAATTGAAACCCCGATCTACTTTAACAAAAGATTCAAAAAGTATAACTATCCTTCTTGGGCTATTCACGTGTGTAAATTTAGGCCCAACAGCTCCATTAATACAAATAAAAAATAAAAAATTATTTACTCTCCTCCTGTCGCAATTAAATTAATTTGTAAGTTGTAACCCAAGCTCACACGTTAACCAACATATTGATTAACCCTTTTAAGTTTGGGCAATATTACTCTTATGCAATAGGAACTTTTTTTATCTTATATCCATACATTGATACTTGTGCCAATTATTTTTTATTATTTTTTTTTCTATTGGGTCCCACTTTAAATTGAGTGTGTAGGAGATAACAAAATTTTTATGTGACATGAGACTACAATTACCCATAAAAGGGTTTTATTAATCTCATATTAAATGAGATAGTTATCTCATGTCATAGAGACAAACTAGTAGACTCCACCATCTGAAAAAATAAAAGAAAAGAAAAGAAAAAAGGTGACACAGTTATCGAAGAGTATGTAAGAGAGAAAACTTGTCTCATGTGACATGAGAATAGTTTTTCCCTTTAAGTTTTACCTTCAATGCTTCAGGCAAATGCTTGCGAATATAAGATTATTGATTGTCCCTTCAAGTATTTTTTAAAAAGTTTTAAGCGCCTTATTATCATTCTCACTTAAGAATTATTATGCTCATTTCATAAATGAGTTAAATCTGTTGTAAAATAAAAGTTCAAGAGATGTGCTAGTTTGAAAGAAAAAAAAAAAAGTTGGCAAATTAAGATCGCAATTAACACAATTTTAATTGTTGGACATTATGCCATGGAACATATCTCAAAATCTGTTTTAGAAGTTGGGGAGAAACAAGATCATTACATGATAAGTCAAGATGCCGAGTGAAATAGAATTATTGAGCCATAAGAAAAGACATAACCTTAAATATAAATTCGTTGAGAAGTGTCATTTGTCGAAAATGGAAGTTTTAAGATTTTTAGGGGGCGTTTGGTTGAAGAGAAATTTGTATGAATAATAAGGAAATGTGATTAGTAGGAAAATGGTTGGAAAGTGAGTTTGATAGGAAAATATAAAAATAGTTGTTTAGTTAAGAAAAGTTTTACCGGAGAAATTAGATAACTTTTGTAAAGTCTATGTTTGGCTTTTGGTTAAATATAGATGGGAAAAAAATGTGCAATTACCAAAATAACCTTGCTTTTAGTTATTCATTTACTTAATTATTTTATTTTATTTTATTTTTTTTATTATTAGAACCACCGCTCCAACAGCCACCGGCCACCAAGAACCCATCGATCCACATCACCTAACCAAACACATCCCTCCCACCCATCTTCTCCAGCCTAGCCACCGATCCAGAAACCATCACCGCCCCTTTTCTTCTCCATCTCAACCGAGCCACCGGTTCTCTTTCTTCCATAACTCACTGATCCAGTCCAAGAACTGGTAACCAACAGCCAACCACAAAACCCACAGCACTCCAAAAGCCATCATTTCATTTTTTTTAACACAACCCACAACCAAGCTCCACCGTCAACCTCTCTTCATCACCATCCTTTTTTTTTCCACCACACACCATCTTCATCGCCCCATAACCCAAACCGAGCTACCAACCCCAGCCATTCAGCCCCCAAACCACCATCGAATCTCCTTCCTTCCCCAAATCACCATCACAAACCAACTCCCCATCTTCAACCTTTCCCAAATCGAACCCCCGATCCACAGCCGAACCACCATAACCCCCTATTCCAGCATCACGTCCATATGTAAAACCAAATAGAGGGCACACTCGTCATTTGGGTATTAAACATTCTGACCAAATAGATAACAAAAGCGCAATACCACATACCAAAAGAGTATCTTTCGCCGCCATTTTGCATAGAAATAGATATGCAAATCAATTTCATAGCATAATGCTTTACATAGCCAAAATTAGAAAATCCTTCAACCAAACATAGTAACCTCAAAATCCCACTTCACATTTCGCCAGCTTTTTATTCAAAATCGTCCAACCAAACGCCCCCTTAAGGTTTCAACTTTCTCTCCGGCATTATGCATTTCCATTCCACAACTCTCTCAATTTTTCTCGAGTACACTAACTATCTACTAAGCATAACATCACACCACTACACTTTATAAACCACTCACTATACGCACAACCTCGCTAACAGCTACTGCTTTTCATCTATATATAACTCCTAAAGCAAATGAGGTGACAATCTCTTCATCATTTACAAAGTTTACCAGTATGGTCTATGGTTGCAACATTATTTAAGTAAGTTTCATTCACTTTTTTATGTATTACATGAGACAACTTGTCTGATACATCATACAACATGAGAAAAAATAATCCCTAGAACATAATACTGACATATTATTAATTTATATCGAATAATATATAATCAATTATATATCAAGGGGATTTTTACTAACATTTTCAGGTTTCCAACGGCATCAAGATTGATTTATGGTAATATACGTCTGTCGAGAGTGAAAAGTTAAGGACAACAAAGCAACAAAATTGAGAAGATGTATTGCCGTGCAGTAATTTGTAGGATTTGATTCACATTTGGTTAACATATTATATTATATTAATTACCAACAAAATTTCACTATGTATATCTTTCTAACGAGAATTCTTTGCAGCTCTTTGAAAATTTAAGAGAAATTATAACACTTACTACATTTTCAAATATAATAATAAATCAATAATGAACATGATCACACAATAAATGTGGATCCTGAGGACGTGCATTAGCTCATCCATCAATGCAGGGCAGAATAATGGGCGCTAGGAAGTATGAACGGAAAATCACGTTACTCCCTCCAAGTGATCATACATAAAGTTTTCAGCTACGGTATTCTAAACAGACCAAAGTCTTGATTTTTATTTTTGTTTTCCCTTGTTTTTTTTTCCTCACATGATATAAAAATCAAAACACCACCTGTAGGAAACCTATGGCCAAAACATGGCAATCTGCACGAAGGTGGAGACTCCAAGCTGCATCATATTTCTCTCCCCATTTAATCTAAAAAGTCCAAGCTGCATCATGTTTCACTCCCCATTTAGCAAGGAAGTCTGCACATTAATAAATTCCCAAAATTGTTACAGAGAGCTCTATATATAGAGCTATAGGCTGACTCAGCAATGAGTCGGAATCATAACCATACAGCAACTACTCGAACAGACTAAAATAACGAAATGGAGAGAGGATCTAGTTCAGACAACAGCACAATAGAGGCAATGAGCTGAAGCTGTACGTGAAGCAAACATGCTAATGCATGCTATACACTAAGTCACTAATACAACCCCTCAAACTCACTGGTTACGCAAAGGCAGTGCTGAATCCATAACACTGAGTTTGGATCATAGGTAAATATACTTGAGGACAGGACCTAGGGCCATAGTGAGAGTATCAACAATCTGATCTACTGTTAGAATGTGAGAAACAAGTAACTCCTTAGCAATAATATGTTCACGAACAAAAAAATATGTCAAGCTCCAATATTTGGTGCAGGCATGAAGAACCAGAATATGAGAAAGAGCCACTGTGTTGCAACTATCACATAGCACTTAGGTGTAGACAAAAGAACGTGAAATTCATAAGGCAAAGACTAAATCCAAAGAATTTCAGCACAAATGATGGCAAGGCTGCGATATTCAGCCTCTGTACTGGATCTAGCAACTAAAGTTTGCTCTATAGACTACCAAGAAACTAGATTATGTCCCAAAATGAGACACGCTCCTGACTTAGAGCATCTATCATATTTTTATACATGCACCTTTCAAGTAGTCGTCAACTGCTTTATGATGGAGGAAGACCATATTTTACCAATCGGCAGTGTGCTAATAGAAATATTGCTTTGACTGTTTGGAGGCCTACTTTCAGGGAAGCAAAGCGTGTATATAGCCAGATGACCCAAGTATCATATGAAGCAGATGAGAAGGAAATTGTACAAAGCAATCAAGAGTACATAGTATCAATTGACATTGCTACAAGAAATGGCAGCCCACCCTCCTGCAAAGGGGACATGGCTGAGTTGGATGACAAAGCTCAAGCTGAAGCTTGTTCAAGTAAACAAAATGATAAACTCCCCAAGGCTGAAATAAAATCACACAAGAAAGCCAAAAGGACGGAAAGAACGAAAGGATTTTCCTTTCTAAAAAAGGTAACAATGGTAAGGTGGGAGTTTGTGCTGCTAGAGGTGCTAATCTTTTTTTCAGTTTTGCAGCCGAAATATTGAGTACAAGGATATTTGGAAGAACAAAGGAACAACGCTATCAGGCTTCTTACAGCTTATTATTCACTCACTTGATCTGCTAATTTTTGTGGCTGGAATATTCCTACAAGGGGTATGCAAAAATCTGGTGAATTGGCTTGGAATGATATAATTGCTGGTGTCGGTTTGAGTATGGAATCAAATGCTTTTCTTGTCCTTGTAATTCATGTGTCAAATGTCTCAATTTTAGTCGATAAAACCAGAGACCCAGTTTGGGGGGCTGTTTGACGCATTGATAGTAACAAAGGAAATGTTTAGCACTGCTGCTTATGTTTGTACCATAGTTTTGTTTGGGCTAATAGCTATTGAGATTGGCATGATGTATCTTCTTGCTGGCATCGATTTGATGATAACTTCATTCCAACTCTATCTCGGGTTAGTCCCACTCAACCTTGGAAATACTAGAATACCCAGACAGCACTGGGTCCGTGGGTTCAGCCTTCGCAGTCATCTCTGTCCAATACTCCAGGACCAGTCTACAATCTATGTGGATTACCTTCACCCCCACAAGTCCATTCACCCAGTCTTCCAACTCACTCTCCTGCACAAACAAAACTTAATTCTAACTCCACCACATCTTCTTCCACTAGTTCTAATTCTGCTCAAAGTGTACACAATAATTCTCCTCACTCCAGCACTTCTCCTCTCCCTTCCATCACAACATTGTTATGTTTTTGAGAAAGCAAATATAAACAATAAGAACGTGGAAGATTAAGAAATCAATAGTTGCATTTGAAAATCAATCACTTTGCAATAAAAATAATTTGTTCTCATGTCACATGATTAAGTTTTAATGTAAAATTTCAGCATGTAAATCCTTTAGAATGACTTGCATTATGAAAACGAAACGAAAAAGTAAGAGATTTGAAAGGGAAAACTCCAGTATTCCCTTTGCCAAAGATCACAAGTTATAATACCTTTTACATCATCACCAACAACCCAATAACTAAATACATGCAACTGAACATTTACACATGAATTCATTTAACTCCTACTATTCCAAAAAAATTATTGAGTATTCTGGGTGTTTGAATAGCTGATCATTGCCCTAAATCTAACCAAATGTTGTCCAATATCACACAACTAAAACAAAGGATACTCAAAAGTAACTAAAATGAACATTAGAGTGCCTAAGTTCTAGTTTTATTTTAAAATCGGATTAGAATGATTTGCAAGCAAAACAACATGCACCACTTACTACTCCCAATATGCGAACAAAAGCCACTTAAAACTTTGGTTTCAATGCAGATTTACAGTTTACCTGCTTCCCATTTTCCATCAACAGTCCTTCTCTTCAAGCATGAGTTATTGACTAAGCAAATCACATACTCAACTAGAAACAATATTACACATCAAAATGATTGTCACTTAGTATTTGCTGTGATTCAAGATGCACCAAACAAATATATTTATTTTTTCCATGGGGTACCAATTCCGATGCATACAAAGATTCTAGTTTCTACATTTACAATGTGTTTCCCTACCCAAGAGACTCATATTCTATCCACTAAAAATTAGTTACACCCAGAGAGACCAAGGGAGACAGAAACATAAAGGAAGCAAAAACCAAACTAATCACAATAATCTCTCTTTATAAAGTTGAATGCACACTTCACCTAGGGCAATCTATGAAGTCAACTTCTGCTGAAGGCGAGTTTTGAAGCAAGAAGTCCACTATTCCATACGGTATAGGTGGAGATGGTTCCAATTCTGCTTTCCGCGACTTGCCAGCTCTCAGTGCCATGGAAAATATAGGTGAAAGTGATTTCAGTTTGACTTTCAATGACTTCAAGTTACCCAAGCCAGGGAGTTTAATCTTCAATAACTCAGGAATTAAGTAGAGAACCTAAGCAACAAGGGATAAGTGAAAATGCACTTCAATTGAGTTTTGAAAAAAATTTGAAATAAAAAAGCATCTCAAGAAGAAAGTAAAAACAAAGCCTAAAAACATGCTAAGTTAAAATACCTGAAGAGTACTTGCAGAGACTGTCAATGATTTTATATTAGCAAGCTCTAGCAGCCAGCTAAACAAGATCAAAGGAGACTCCATGGAAGTTGACCAGATTTCAGCATCAATATTCACTTGTTCAAGAGAAGAAAGATTTCCCCCAGAGAGTTGCTGATAAGGAATACCAGTAAAGGAAAAAGTACGAAGATTTGGTGTAGATAGCACAATTTTGTAAAAGTCCTTAGAATGATCAGAATGCATAGTGAAATTGACAAGCGTGGAACTTGATATGCAGAGGATTTTAGCATCCCTAACAGTACAATGGTCAATGATCAAATCCCTCAACTTGTTACATGCCGAAAAGGGCTCAGCTCGGTCATTGTCACTTGCGCAAAATGTGAAATGCTGCAGATGCAAGCTTGTCAATGCTGCTAAACTAAGAGATTTGGGAAACAATGTGCTTCCATAAATATAACCTCTAGGGCAAACTGAAAGCTTGAGAGATGTTAAAGTATGGCATGAAAAGATGCAAGGCGGAATGTGATCAATATCACACTTGACAGAGATTCCCAATTGCTGGACATTATGTGAAATAGCATATTTTACAATCCTTTTAAGAAGATGAGGCTCAATACAACCGTGACGCTCGAAATCAAGATTAAGCAGTGCAATTGAGCCATCGCGAAGGGTTAGAAGCCTGGACACGAATTTGGTGAAACTCTTGAAAGTCCAAAAGTCTGAGGAATGTAACGTTAGTGTCGAGAGAAGTTTCCAAAGGTCCTTCCATCTGTTCGATAATACGCATGTTCTAACGGCGTCTTTGGCGTTCAGAAATGCCAATATGTGAAGAAGAACGCAATCGGGTAAATCACTTAGCCTATCTTCCTTTTTACTCTCACTATTCCTTCCTCTCTTCATCTTCCGCGGAATCATTATGCGATTATCAATTCTACAGCTGTTTTTCGAAATTAATCGAAGTCGTATAGTCTGCGATTGCAATCGATAAAACCTAGAAAAATTTAGGATGATAATTTAGGAATAATAGACAACGAAATTCAATTGGGAAATGAGAAATACCTTTGGTGATTGAGTAGTGACTTCAGATGATTTACAGATTGGGAGCGAAATGGATGGATATAAACCCTACTTTCTTTGTGCTTGGGGAAGGTAAGGAATAAATCAGGCTTTTAATCCATAAACAGCAAGATAAGAATTTATAGAGTTTATTTTTTTTTTATTATTTATCAATTTAATGTGGGAAAAAAAACGTGTGCAATGTCGTTTAATTTTTTAAATTTTTTTTTTTTATCAATCTAACTTGAATGTGGCAGGATGATCTTACACTGCTGTAAGAATAATAAGTCTTACATCAGATCTTAACCGTTGATTTACGTGCATCTAATGGTTAAGATTTATTGTGTCTCATTAATCAATCAATCATTAATTCCCATTAAATTTTAACCGTTAGATGCACGAAAATCAACGATTAAGATTTAATGTAAAAATTATTATTCTTACATCGGTGAAAATTAATCTTATCCCAACTTGAATATAATGTGGGCAATGTTATTAAATTGGATTACGATTTTAAAAGACTGTTGCGAGATAAAAAAAAAATTATAGATTTCAAAAAATCATCTAGAATTGTAGTAATTTTAAATATTTTTTTTAAAAAAATTTACAATAAAATTTTTATAAATTTGAATTTTAAAATATTTTAATAAAATTTATAAAATTTGAAAGTACAATATGAATTTATAATATTTAAAAAAACTTCATGAATTTTTAATAAATATTCAAAGGTAATTCTCAAAAAGGATAATCAAATCAAAAATTTATACGCATAAAATTTAATTGGGAAATGAGAAATACCTTTGGTGATTGAGTAGTGACTTCAGATGATTTACAGATTGGGAGCGAAATGGATGGATATAAACCCTACTTTCTTTGTGCTTGGCGTAAGGAATAGATCAGGCTTTTCAATCCATAAATAGCAAGATAAGATATTATAGAGTTTATTTTTTTTAATTATTTATCAATTTAATGTAGGGAAAAAAAAACGTGTGCAATGTCGTTTAATTTTTTTTAAAAAAAATTATTTATCAATCTAACTTGAATGGAGCAGGATCATCTTACACCGGTGCAAGAATAATAAGTCTTACATCAGATCTTAACCGATGATTTACGTGCATCTAATGGTTAAGATTTATTGTGTCTCATTAATTAATCAATAATTAATTTTCATTAAATTTTAACCGTTAAATGCACGAAAAATCGAAAATCAACGGTTAAGATTTGGTGTAAGAATTATTATTCTTACCCCCGTGGAAATTGATCCTATCCCAACTTGAATATAATGTGGGCAATGTTATTAAATTGGATTACGATTTTAAAAAACTGTTGCGAGATAAAAAAAATTATAGATTTCAAAAAATTATCTAGAATTGTAGTAATTTTAAATATTTTTTTTTAAAAAAATTTACAATGAAAATTTTATAAATTTGAATTTTAAAATATTTTAATAAAATTTATAAGATTTGAGAGGACAATATGAATTTATAATATTTTAAAAAATTGTATGAATTTTTAATAAATATTCAAAAGTGATTCTCAAAAAGGATAATCAAATCAAAAATTTATACGCATAAAATTTATTAAAAAAAAATTCATACCTTTGTATGCTATTAGTGTGATGGAACATGTTATTCACACTTAAAAAAAATTATTTCTATTTCGTCAATATATTTTAAAATTATTTATTAAAATTATTATATGAAATTATTTATAATAAATACATATATATTTATTTCAATTTAGTATATCATAAAGTGAAAAGTTGGCATATGTAGTGTGCAATGGACATTATTATTCTTCTCACTGTCTTGTCAAACAGTAATTTACATTCATTCTGGTGTGGGAATCTTAACGTTGTTGAATATATCCTCTTTTAACTTAGGATATGTTTGGTGTGATGTATAAGACCCAATGGCTAATAGTATAAGCTTAAACGATACGTTATAACATTTTTAGTTGTTTGGTGTGACCATCGTATAGTATAAGCTTATATAGCATGATCCTTTCATACATCAAAATGACGTATAACTTAATCAGGCCTAGGAGGATAAGATTAGGCATGATAAGCGATTGATTTATTAACCAATGCAATTATCAAGAATTAATATATTATTTTAATATTAGTATATTAAAATAAAAATAATATATAATTTTTAAAATATTGGATATTTTTAATTTTATAAAAATTAATAATTTTTTGGACACACTGATCAACATATATCTATAGAAAAATAATCCAAATATATAAATTCATTATTAGAAGGTATTTTTGACAAAAAAAATTATTTTTAACCTATATAGTATTATACTGTGTGTCAAGTATTTAGCCTTGGGCACTCCCACCCTTTGAGCTAGCTTTTGGAGTGGTGATCTCAAGATCCGTAACACTTATGGAAGGAGTGCGATTTTGAATGTACATGGAAATGATGTATATCTTGACGTGCGCACACAACAACGTATTGATTTTTGTATAAGTCACAAATGGGATGAAGAGTGATTTAAGTGGGTGTATTGAATTGAAATTTTAAAGGATTTTAACCGAGTATTTTTGAATAAAAAATTCATTGGTATTCAATTAGGATTTTAAATGATTATAAAAAAGTTATGTGATATTCGATTAAAATTTTAGATGATTGTTTTAGAATCCGTCCAAATCCGGTGGTATGAAATCATGATTTTAAATAAAGAAAAAAATAATCTTTTGGTATTAACATATAAATACTTGACACAGCACAAAATTAGGATAGAAAACAACATCTACATAAGAGCGTGGAATAAATTTGAGAAGGAGAACAAAATGAGAAATTGAAAGTTAACACCCTTATATGTTAATGTGTTAGCATTATAAAATATAAAGGATTAATTGAAACAATTAATAATATAAGATGGTAATTCAAAAATATCATCAAAATTTAAAGGCATAAATTATATTTTAGCCATAAATTAATGGATAAGCAACCGCATCTGTATTTTCCAAGGGTTGATATTTTTAAGAGTAAATATCATTTTCGGTCCTCAGCAAATTTTACGATACTCGCTTTAGTCCCTAGCAAATAAAAAGGCTATTCGTGATCCCTAAACCCATTTTAGTTCTTTTAAGGGATTAATATGATTTTTTTTTGAATTTGTGAGGACCACAATTTTAACTAAATGAATCCATTTTGAATTTCTTAAGGAGCACGAATAGTCTTTTTATTTACTAGGGACTAAAGCGGACATCGTGAAATTGCTGAGGAACAAAAATGATATTTACTCTATTTTTAATTTTGCTCAAGTAGAGATATTTTTTTACTGAGAAAAATGATGTTCGTTGTCACGTAGCCCATCACTTTTTTTTTTTTTTAAAAATTGTTTTGTTCTTATCATATATTTTTTTTTTTTTTTGATAACATTCTTATCATATATTTAAATGAGTCAAATCTTCTAAATTTGGTGAACTCCGATGGTTATATATAAACTTATGTGCATACTCAGTAACAAAAAATTATAATTTTGAATAAAACATTAAATAATATCTAATCTATACATTGTTATTATTTAGAAATTATACTTATTGTTATTATTTATTACTTATTTAATTACAATGTTTAAATTTTTCCACAAATTTTTTTTTACAATGTTTAAATAATCTTTTACTTTTTGTTTATTTTTACTTAATTTTTTAGCGTAGATGTATCTATTAAATATTAAATGATTCAACTTAAATATTAAAACAAACTTATTATATTTGGGACAAATAAAACTTTTAAAACAGTAATTTTTGCCAAAAAAAAAGGTTATCCTATTCTACTGCTGCAGCATAACAACTAGTGTAGAAATAATTTATTGTAATTAACTCGCACAAACAGGTTAATTGACTTTATTTTGCCAAAAAAAAAAAAGGTTATCCTATTCTACTGCTGCAGTATAACAACTAGTGTAGAAATAATTTATTGTAATTAACTCGCACAAACAGGTTAATTGACTTTAAGGTAGCTTATCAATTCTAACAAGTTTATTTTGATATAACTATGTTAAGTATGATATTAGGATTAGATGACAACAAGAAGGGCAATTCCTGTGGGGGCAATGCAGTGGCAAAGATGACACGTAATTCAATATATGAAAGAAGATGGAGAAAGCAGGGATACAAACAAATATTTTATTTATATGCATATGTACAGGAGTTTGGAAGAAGTCTATTAGTGTGTCGTATCCAAATGTTCTGACCAAGAGCCCAGCAACACCAGTCTAAACTTCATCAAATGTCGAAATTAGCACACTGCTAAACTGTTATTCAAATAAGCAGTCCATCCTCGAGTGCTATCACCATTTCATTCTAAAACCAGGGTAGCAATGCTTTGGTGGTCTCAATGAAATTATGATAGTCAGGGACAATCAGACAGCATTTTATTAACTCAAACCCTAACTAATGAATATTTCATGATATAAACACTCAAGGAAGATCATCCGAGAACATATATACAAACAATATTTTGGCACTTATACCAGCACCAATATCGCAGACTACATAATGTTAATCGGGAACAGAAGAGCTTCCCGACCCAGATTTTGCTAATCAGTAATGACCATTTCATTTGAGTATTCAGTCATAACCCAGATTTTCCTAATTGTCTCGTGGCATGTATCCTTGCATCTAGATCAATTAGTAAGCGAAGAATATACTACAGTGGGACTTATGTAAAAACCCCTGACGTAATGAATCATTTAGTACCTTCTAATCAAAGTTTCCAGGGATGTCAATATCCGTGTCTGAAGGATTAGAAAGCTCAACCAGAGGTTCCTGTCGATCAAATTAGCCTCACGTAAGAAGTGACTACTCAATTCCATCTTATAAAGAATTATTTTACCTACATTACTCTTGCATTTACAAATGTATAGTTGGCTCCATTTTAAGTTTCATTGGAAAAGCTCAAGTGGGGCTACTTGAACTAAGATGGAGCCACCGCTACACTTGTGCAGAGCTGTGAAAACAAGAGTTGAATATCTAATATTACACCATAAAACAAACTACTTAAACAGGAATACCTGCTCATCATCATTTGCCGAAGAATGATCAATTCCCAGTGGCAGACTGTTTGTAAAGTGCTTCGCACATTCAGGCAATTCCTGAACAAGAAAAATTGGCCCCACATCCATCAGATAAGTATTATAACAACTCGTTAAAAGCTTTCTTTTAGGATCTATTTGCAAAGTATGGGACTTGAAGTCCCACATTGGTTGTATGGACAACTAATATGGGATTTTATAAGACCTTGAGCACTCTCATCCTTTGAGCTAACTTTTGGGGTGATGCATCCCAAGGTTCTTATCAAACAGTATCGTAGTCTTCCACTATGTCTCCCAGTTGCAATCGAGCGGTGCGGCTGGTGACACTGGCATTGCAGTGTTCACCCAGGGCTAGGAAAAAAACTAGCGCAAAGTCAGCCCACGTGAACATTGAGGCTGCGGAGCGTGGTGGAATGTTAGGACGCATTTGCAAGGTATGGGACTTGGAGTCCCATATTGGTTGTATGGGCAACTAATGTGGGGTTTATAAGACCTTAGGCACTCTCACCCTTTGAACTAGCTTTTGGGATAGTGCATCTCAAGGTTCTTATCACTCTCATTTTGTCAGAGAAAAGGTGTCTGAATACTCCGAGTTGGATGTGAAAGAATATAGAGAGAAAAACAAATCTAAAACTACCTCATCCCTAGGGTTTACAGCATGATTATTAGAACCTTCAGCAGCAATGGCCTTGGAAGGATCTTCAGAAATACCCTGCATACACCAAAGAAGTGTGTATGAAAATGGAACAACATTTGCAGTGCTAATAATGAATTTGCAATATGTTAAATAGTTTTACTTGCTCATCATGGATGCCAGGCAATTCCCCTGCCAGAACAGTAGGCTTGACATCAAAAGGAGTGTCCTGTAAATTCCATTCAAGTTGATAGGTAAACCACTTGGCGTTTTTAGGTTTATGATGTGATTAAAATTTCCAGGTAAGGCTATTCAAAACAACTAGTGTTCCAAGACCCAAACCAACCCAACTTAAACTAATGAATAAGTTTGTTTTTCACCCTCATTGGGGTTAGGTTGTTTTGGAATTCTTTTGAATAAGAAAAAAATGGTTCAGGTTAGTGCCTAACCAAAAACTTGTATTGGATTCCAACGTTTAATAATAAATCTTTTACAAAGAACTACATGACATTTGTTTTCAAGTAAACGTACACTCTATCCATCTGTAGGTAACTATCATAAAGTCTAAACCGATGGGTTTGTATATTTTTATTTGTACCATTTTGACAGAAGTTTAATTGCAAATGTTGACAAAAAGCATTTCATTTAGCTACAGATATATTATTTAAAATATTATTTGTCATATAAATTACAAATGCATGTCAGAATTCTTTAACTAGTAACTTTCATAATCCAATGGGATTTTGACCTGTGATCTTTGACTTTGTTAATAAAGGAAAGTGACTGAATATAATTAGTAAATCAATACCTTGATTTATGACTGAGATATTGTCTAATTCTCATTGGTAATATATCTAAGATTACCACTTTTATCATGTCATATATTTGGCAGAAAACATGAAATAAAAGATTCAGAAAAAAAAGAAAGTCATAGTAAAAAGAGGTAGTATTACAGTATTTGTTCTATATGTGCAAATAAAGAACAGGTGAATCTTTACTGGAGTAGAAAAGAAACCTAAAAGAATCAATACAGCCCATTCAGAAAAAAGAAAATTATATAGAGATTTGGGTTCACGACGAAAGCAATACATTAAGAAGTTAGCTCAATAATTTTAGTATATCTTTTTCTAATATTCTGTTATAATAGAAATTTCTTAATCTTTTTGTACGTTTCATTGGTCACTGACCCCAACTAGTTTAAAGGTGTTGTTGAGGTTGATTCTATTATAATAGAGTAAAGATTAATATAGATATATAAATAAAGGTGTCAAAAGGTCTTTTTCTTACTATCTCTAAGAAATTTTGTTTTCCATCACCAAAAAGAGAGATTGATTTTCTTTGCCTATCCAAAATAGTTGACTAAGTTATTGCACCACCCAAGAATTTAAAACAGACCCATCGCTGAAACCATTTCTTTTGAAACTGATAACAAAAAATATATGCAGAGCTGATCCCCCTTAGCATTTACAATTGGCTTCCAATCAGAGAATAAATCTGGGAAAACATTAAGCACCCCATCTTACATACCGGATCACCTTGCTCAACAGAAAGATTTCTTCCTCCCTTACTGAGATCTCTGAGTGTACCCTGTCAGAGTCAAGAAGCAAACTCAGGGGAGAAGAAGATATTTGCAAGGTGCAGACAATCACAGAGACAGAGAATACAGCAGTAAAGTATGATATACAGGAATGCAAGGTGAAAAAGAAACAAATATTCTGACTGACATCATATAGTCAGAACACAACATCTAATTTGCCACTGCTAAGGCATACGGGAAATTACTATTAAGTCCCAGCCAGTTCCTATACCATTGAGACCGTAGTCCCAATAATGAACAATGAAATGGCACCATGAAAGATAATAAATGACAAAGGTTTAGTAGAACTACACACAATAGTTGCATAAGCTAAAGAAATCCAAAACTTTTGCCAATTATCTTTAGATGGGGATTATATAAAAGGAAAAAAATAAAATGACTAACCTTGTTAGCCCACATAAGACCGCATGCGTTACACAAAGTCCTTGGTCCAGCTGGCCCACGACGCATTGCAGGAGTGTTATTTTCACTGACACCACAATGTTGACATCTACGTCTGAAAGGCGTGAAAAAGCAGAGTGGGGATAATGTTTATAGAAATGCAATTAAAAACACACACAAAAGAAGCACTACATTTGAATGAAATAATTTATATGCCAGAAATCTATAAGCTTAAAACTCACGCAGATTCAGATTGAGGAGTGCCATCTTGACCAGAACTCTGTGCAGAATCCCAATTAGATGAACCTGAGCCTTCCTTCACGGATGCAAACTGCCCATTCTTCCGATGCATCCTAACAAGAAATAAAAGAGAACGAAAACTGAGAGCCTAAAAAAATTATAAATATAAAAGAACACACCAAACTTCCAAAACAACTAGATCAAATAAAATCCTACAAGGAGGCAATATTGGTATTGAACCTCAAAATGGCATTTAAGTACCAATACCATATATCAACATGGACTGCATTATGTTCCTCACTCTTTACTTTAGCCGTAAAGAAATATGCTCACTGATCAGATAATAACTCAGGTCTAAGATTTCATTGTTTGAAAGTTCAACATAAAAACAAATTTAGTCAGACCAGACATAAACCTCTTTTACATTATAAATTTTCCATGATGACGAAGTTCAAATGTAAGTTAGATTATAATTTTCTTCCAAGTTGCAAAGCTATTTAAATTTATTTTTCCATGAAAAGTTTTTGTTTCAATTTTTATTAATAATTAAATACTATCCATGTCATGTGCAAGACAGTTTTTGGTCATGTGAGAAGAAAATTCTGTTTCCTCTAAATATGGTTTTTGATAAAGCCCGATTTGGTGGATTAATATGTGTAGCCAATCTCACTTAGCAGGCAAGGCTTGGTTCGATAAATGAGTACTATGCTATTTCATAAAAAGATAAATCTAGATATTGAAACGGGTAACACTCTTTGGAGTACAAGGACTACCTATTGTAATATTTGTATAAATGCAAACGGTGGAATTGAAAAACTAGCAGCCACTCATTTTTACAATGACAAGGCAAGGCAATTTTTGAACAACTTTTTCACGATTTTGGGAGAGTATTAGGTTTGCCCTGTTAGCTTGAGAACCTTCTTATCACTCACTTTTAAGAGATGAGGACTTCATGAAAGTCCTTAACTGCTTATCACTGGAACATATGGTAGAGATTTTAACAAGCAAGTATTCATTTTCTTGACCTCCTTATGGGTTAAAGCAAATTGCTTTCCTCAACAAACTTCCTTGATAGTTAAGCAAAGGGGATTAGGAAGCTCAATTAAGTTGATTTATTTATTGGGAAAAGTTCAAAAACCCCTTTATGGTATTGCTTTGAATCACTTACACCCCTATGCTTTATTTTTAATCACTTAACACCATGTGATTTTTTCTATCCACGCCCCTCCTTAACACTGTTAGAAACTTAATTGAATATACCTATTTTACCCTTCTCAAAAGAAAAATATAGGATGACAAAAAAGAAAGAAAAAGAAGACCAAATATTATGAAAACTTAAAACACTTAATAAAAGACTAAAAGAAAAAAATAGAAGAAAAAAAAGATTAAGGACAAAAAGAAAAGAAAAAATAAGACCAAATTTGTTGAAAAAACACAATAGTGACAGAAAAACTAAAATAAAAAAAAAATGAAAAAAATGTAAATAAAAAAAAATAAACCGAATACAAAAAAGAAAGAAAAGAAAAAATAAGATCAAATATACCCAAATAAAAAAGAATAGAATAGGCTGAGCAAAAATATAAAAAAACAAGATCAAATATAATAAAAATTTACAACACAGATTTTTTTTCCTTTTATTTATATTTTATCTTATTTTTCTTCTATTTCTTTCAACAGTGGTAAAAAAACCAAAAAGAAAAAATAAAACCAAATATGTTGGAAACTCACAACAGTAATTTCTTTTTATTCTATTTCTTTTTCATTTTATTTTTTATCTTAAATTTTTTTTCTATTTTTTGTCTTCAGTATATTCTTTTTCATTTATATTATTATTTTTTAATTGTAGTCATTTCTATCACTATTGTGAATTTTAACATAATTAGTCTTATTTTTTCTTCTATTTTTTTTGTCCTTAATCTTTTTTTTTATTTAGACACGTTTGATCCTTTTTTTCTTCTATTTTTTTTCTTTTAGCCTTTATTAAGTGTTTTAAGTTTTCATAACATTTGATGTTATTTTTCTCTTCTTCTATTTTCACTCTATTTTCTTCTTCTAAGAAGGGTAAAGTAGGTATATTTAATTAAGTTTCTAACAGTGTTAAGGAGGGGTGTGAATAGAAAAAACCACAAGGGGTTAAGTGATTAAACATAAAGTATAGGGATGTAAGTGATTCAAAGCAATACCACATTGGGATTTTTGAATTTTTTTCCTATTTCTTTTTACTCTCTACTTAATGAGGATAGAGACCAATATTTTACTTTCTGTAAAATAAAACAATTCTAAACAACTCTTATCTGGAATATGATTTAGATGCCAACTCACAAACATCGTGCAGAGTTGACAATGTGTCCAAGATACAAAACATACAAATGATTTGCAGAGACTTACCACAATTATCGAATCCCATAAAAAGTAAGACAACAGAGTGACTACATTGTTTTAACAGCCAAGACATTTTCCAGTGGACAAATTTATAGACCTAGAAATAAGTCATCACCTTTTTGGGGTGAAAAGGTGCAATATGGAATTTTATTTACCTCTGTGCCACCTCCTTTCTCACAGTGTACCTAATTTTCTTGTCAAAACATCTTTCCTTGCGTTTTTCACGGAACCTGACCAAGGAGGCGATTCGTCGTGAAAGGTTTGAACGCTTTGGAGTATCATCCATTCCCTAGAGATTGCAATAGCCAGTGCATAAATTCAGGCACAAAAATACAATACAATTAACAAAAATGTTCTTGTTAAGTCAATATCTGCATTACCGTGTTACTTTCATCAAAGGGAAGTTCAACTGTAGGGACAGCTGTCTGCACATCACGTCCTCCCAAAAGCAGTAAAACAGCTTGCACCTGCGGTGTTAAATTTGATCATCAAGCTTTCCTCAATAGGCAAAACCAATATCATCCTTTTAAAGAGCCAAGCAGTAAATATGTCTAATTTGAATGCAGGGTTTTGTTGTAATTTTATTCCATAAGCTATACTATTTTTTTCTGCATTCTATCAATCCACTAGTTACAATAGTCCACTTTCTTCCTTCCAAAACCCAAATATGCATTTGACTTTCAAATTTAGTAATTTATATTACTTTGTTCTAAAAATAGTTTAGTACCTATAATGCATTGAATAACTGTTTTCCCCCTTTATTCCATATACTGTATTGGAATTTTTTCCATATACAGTCTTGGAATTTATAGAGCATTGAATTTTTCTGCCATACTCTGTCTAAGAAAAACGGCTGATACTTCACAGCCTAGATTAATAATGACAGACTGTAAATAATACAAGTCAGCAGTACTTTTCCAGTTCACACATATACCTTTCTTTTTATTATGTCAAACATCAATTTAGGCATAGACACGCAGCCCACATGCCCTGCAGAGTGCAGAGTATCATTCATTTGGCATTACTACCACAACAGTACACGTCAACGTTAACATAACATCACCTTTACCGGAATACAGTTAGATAAAACTATTTTGTGGATTGGATTTTATTTGACTGTCTATGGCTTCATTATGTGTGATTTGAAAGAAGTTTTAGATGAGTATAATGGTAACAGGCAATCAGCATGCTACTAAACATTTCAATTTTTGTGATTATGCAAATCCTTGTGTTGTTTATTATTTTTTAACATTTTGGTACAACACTCTTACATTATATAGCAGAGGGAATATCCAGCAGTGTTAAAAGAACATAAGTATCATTATTTATTACCAAGCAAGTAATAAGAGTAAAAGTGATAAGTCTAAAATGATGGTAAGTATAACTTTTTCCAACTGATAATTGAGAATTTCCATACAAAAGTGCGAAAAATTGATAAAATTACCTTTTGAGGTGTAACTGCTGGAAAGACGTAAACCTCACCCTCAAAAGAAAGAGTGAGCTCACTAGTACGCGAAGGCACAACGAGTGCCCCATGACCATGATTTGCACTCACAGCAACGTTAACTGAATTGGCATTTGCCTCCTCCAACTCATCCATAGCATCACCACCACCACCACCATCACCATCCTCGTACTCACCGACCTCGTCGTCATCGACGGGTATCGCAGGGTCCTCGAATCGCAGAGGCTGTGGATTCACGGCCGCCATCAATTTCCCCACGCGTCGCACGACAGCAGAAACCCTAATTTCGGAGCCTGCTCCATCGATCAAATATCGTTTCCATCAACAACAACAACAACAACAACAAAACTGGAACCGTGAAATTCAATTTGGAAGCTCTGAGAAAATTCGAGAAGGAAAGGAGAGAGAGAGAAAAAGAAATTCGAATAAGCAGAGGATCTGCACAAGCACAGAGCGTGTTTCCTTGAACGCACTCAGAATGAGAGTGAAATTTTAGTTGACGGCGTCAGCGATTGTTTTCCCCGTTCCGATATAAGAACGAAGAAGTTATCCCTTGTGTGAAGGTGTACGGTACGGTACTGGATGCTACATTAGTTGTGAAGTTAACGGTTCGCAGAGGACGGTTGCGATCTGACGGCTGGTAAATAGTAAGAGAATATTAGTGATGTAACTGAGGAAGTGGAACACAACTATTTATAGATAATTTCTGAGAACGAATATTTTGATATTGGAATCTGATTTGTCATTTCGATTGGAACACACATATGTTTGTCACTTCGATTCTGTTTTTGTCATTTTCTTGATTAAACAACACAAAATTATTGCAGTTGCTGATTTTTTTGTTGTTAGTTACCTTTACCAGAAACAGAAACACGTCCCCTCATATCTTGGAAGCAATAAAATTATAGGGAAATATTACTTACCTTTCACACGAGCATCTCTTATTTTCTCTTACTTCGATTTCTGTACTCCATCTTTTTCTTTTATTCCTTTTTTATTGTAATGGTGGGACTCACCTATTTTCTCCTTACAACATAAGATAACTATCTGGGAGTGGATCCTCTCATGTGGAAAAGTGGTTATGTGGTCATGTTATTTGATCACAATCACTCGTTAGTGATGAGATAAGAGAGTGATGAGATAAGGGGACAGATAAGAGAGTGATGGGATAAGGGGACAGTGACCAAAATGCCAGGCTTTGGCAAAAAAATTACTAGAATGCCACGCGAACAGTAAAATTTTCCAAACTGCCACGCGACATAATTCATTACACTGTGTAGCGAATTATGTATGCAAGTAATTCGCTATACAGTGTAGCGAAATATGCCACGTCAGAATGCACAAAACCAAAAAGTGTCATGTGTCAGAATTGTTGAAATTCGCTACATAGGGTAGCGAATTTCAACAATTCTGACACATGACACTTTTTGGTTCTGACGTGGCATATTTCGCTACACTGTGTAGCGAACTTGCATGCATAATTCGCTACACTGTGTAGCGAATTATACCGCGTGGCAGTTTGGCAAAATTTATTGTTGGCGTGGCAGTCTGGTAATTTTTTTGTCCAAACGTGACAAAATGATCATTGTTCCTGATATAAGAGAGAGAAAAGTGTATAATTTTTGAATGAGTGGTTGTGATCAAATAACTAGAATGCCACGCGAACAGTAAAATTTTCCAAACTGCCACGCGGCATAATTCATTACACAGTGTAGTGAATTATGTATGCAAGTAATTCGCTACACAGTGTAGCGAAATATGCAACGTCATAATGCACAAAACCAAAAAGTGTCATGTGTCAGAATTGTTGAAATTCGCTACCCTATGTAGCGAATTTCAACAATTCTGACACATGACACTTTTTGGTTCTGACGTGGATATTTCGCTACATTGTGTAGCGAACTTGCATGCATAATTCGCTACACTGTGTAGCGTATTATACCGCGTGGCAGTTTGGCAAAATTTACTGTTGGCGTGGCAGTCTGGTAATTTTTTTGTCCAAACGTGACAAAATGGTCACTGTTCCTGATATAAGAGAGAGAAAAGTGTATAATTTTTGAATGAATGGTTGTGATCAAATAAAATGATTACATAACCACTTTTTCACATGAAAGGATCCATTCACTAACTATCTTATGTTAAACGAGACTAATAAAACCCAAAATTAAAATGCATATAATCAGATTATTCTAAATGCATGAGCGTAAAATGATAGAGAGTATCAATAACCACTATTTTAAGTCGTAAGGAATTTTTTTATTTTCTTACTAGAGTTTTCAAGTTCAAATATTAAAATGTGGTCCTTTATATGGGTACGACCGTACGATAATAGTTGTTTAGGTGGGAAGTTAGAAGAATGATCATCTTAATGATAAAATTTATAAAATGAGAAAATAAAAATTATCACTTTGATTACATATTATTGATTTATAATTGACTGATTAAAATCTTTTACGTGACATAATTATATTAAAACAAGCCAATTTTTAATTATGTGCATAAAATTACACGGTATACATCTCAATCAATTTTATTTTATTTTTTATTTTTAGTAAATGAGGAGGGGATTAATCCAAAAATAAACAAAACTACAAAACAGGGGCACTAGGATTATAATCCTGAGCGCAATCTAAAGCTAAAAGACCCTGAATCCCACTAGGAATTTCCTGATAAATATATAATCCAAGCTCCATGCTCAGAGCTTCCTTAGCTAGTCAGTGTGCCCAAGAGTTCTTCTCTCGATTAACGTGGCTGAAATGCACTTCCCAATTTCTCTTTGTCCATGCTTTGATCCTTGTAACCAAGTGAGGGACCTCCAGCTCGTAGGCATCCTTGTTTAGCAACGATATAAGCATAGCTACGTAACATCGATACTGACACGGAACACAGAACACGATACGACACGATACCCTGACATGTTAATTTTAAAAAGTATTAGATTTCGACACACGTTTTGATATTAAATAATATTTTTAATTTATGTAATGTATATTATATTTATTATTCAATAATTTAACAGAAAAAATAAAGCTAAACTTATAATACTCGTCAATTTTGTAAAGAAACATAAGATGTTCCAAATGTTTATATTAAACTCAATAAAATGGTAATCGCAATCCAACGAATCTAATAGTTGAAACTAAAAACGCAACGCAACGCAACTTTTGAACTTTTTTTTTATTCTCTACAACGAGTGTTAGAGTGTCAGAGTGTCGAAAAATATCAAACACGACACGTCAAGATTTTTAAAGTGTCGGTACTTGATAGATGCAAGTCGCTTTCAAGGATTAAACCATCTCAATCAAAATTTGTTTGAGTCAACTCTTAGCTTTTTATGTTCCACCACCTCATCCAATCTGTTTACTTTTATCAACATATAAATATGCTTTAGTTAAATCACTATTATAAGGGGTATTTTGATAAATAGACGTTAGTATTTTATTGTATTTTAATTGTATTAGATATTTACCTCATATTAATTTAGTGAACTAATTATGGTTACAATTGATTAATTAATGTGTAATCAATGTAGTCCAGCTCTACATAGAGCTCGCATGTATCAAATTTTATCATTATATCAAGATTTTAATGTTTCTTCTCATATTATTATACGTGATAAATATCTACTGCACATAAAAATATGTGAGCCGTGAAGAGAGAAAAAAAAAAATATGAACCCCACACACTTTTACGTGTGTGTAGGAGATAAATTTTATCTCCTAGAACATGAGAAATTTTATTTCCTAATATCAAATATAGAAAACTTTTCAAATCACTTTCTTTTTCCCTCTCCCTTTTCTTTCATTTTTCATCGTTTTCCTCTCTTACGGCCTAATACAAAACCCTAGCTATGTCTTCCATGTCATCTAAATGGAATCGTGACATAGTTATGAAGAATAGAGCTCTGTTCCAGTGTGAAACTCATTGAGAACAATCGCAAATGTTATGCCTCCCCACCTTCTGATTTTGTGATATGGAGCTGCACTAATGATGGTAAATTCACAACAAAATTCTCTTATGGCTTACTTACGGAGGAGGAGGAGGAGGAGAATCATGTTTTGTCCGTGGATGTGGCTTGGTCTTGGAAAGGTAACGAGAATTCAAACTTTTTTTTGGATGACATCCAATAATCTTTTATTGACAAATATGAAAAGATTACAAAGGCATCTCTCAGACAGTAGATTGTGTCCAAGATGCAATGAAGGTAAGGAGGACATTCTGCATGTTCTCAGAGATTGCAGATGGAGTAGAGAGCTTTGGACATGGAACACTGGTGGTCTGAGTTCTTCCAAGTCTCATTTATTATCTGGTTAGAGAAGAATTTGGAAGGAAAGTTTTAATTCAGCACTACGAATGGGGGAAATTGTTTGGTATGGAGAACTCGCAACAATTTTATTTTTGAGCATAAGTATGTATCTCAGCAATCATTTGTTAGAAGAGCTAAAGCTTTTGTATCTCAATCAAATGAGGCTCATAGAATTCTTTGTAGCCAAGGCCTCCAAATACGTGACAAGGTGGAAAGATACATTAGCTAGAGTTTTCCAACCGATGACTGGTGCAAACTCAATGTAGATGGATCATGTTGTGATGAAGGTAGGAGATCAAGTTGTGGGGGTGTGATCAGAGATGCTTCGGGCAAGTGGTTAACTGGCTTTTGTAGAAATCTAAGAACGCGGGTCTTCCATAGGAGCAGAGCTATGGGATTTTTTCAATCCCTTGCATGGAACCTTGGCCTCAGGAACTTTGGGTCGAAGGGGACTCGCAAGTAGCTATTATGTTGATCAGCAAGGGTTGTGATAAGAATCACCCTCTAGCCTCTCTAGTCAACAGAATTGGTGAGATGTTGATGGAATACTAAATCAAGCCACACTTATAGGAAGGGTAATATGGTTGCTGATAAGTTAGCATCTCTGGCTTATTCTTTTGATGATTGGGAGGTTCATGCTTCGCAGAAAGTCTTTGATGAATGTAATGTTCTGGTCAATAGGGACATGATGAGCATTGCTAGCCCAAGACTATGTAATGGCTTGTAGTTTTTTAATTCCACATTTCCAAAAATAGAACAATCATTTTAACTGATTAAATCAATCAAACCGTAACTTCTTGTTAGTTTGGTTTTTAAGACAATCGTTCCAACATTGTCAACTTTGCTTAAGCTTTGGTGTAAAAGTTCAGAAGTAGTAGCATATTCCGATTCAATCACGTAACTTAAAAGAGTTGCGTTTCATCCAAATTGAAAGTCTGTAGGTCTCTAAAGCCCACTTCTCCTTCCTGCTTTAAGGCACATGGTTATCCAGCTTCTCTTTTTAAACGGGAAGAAGAAAAATATTCCACCCGAACTATTCGACACTGTTGTGCACATTTTCACATAAGGTCAAGCTAAAACCGACAACTGTATGAGATCAAGTCATCATTCAAATTCCAGTTTATACATTCAGAGATAAACAGTTAATGTAACTAAATACAAGAGTAAAGAAATAGACCTCTTGTATTGATGAGAGCTTTGCTATAACTGTACATTCTATAGGTCAAACTGAATGGAATTACTATAAACCTACTATTGCCACAGTCAATGACTGGCATTTTCTATGACCATATAACTCTCAACGATCAGATACCAAAGCAGTGTTATCATTAACAAGATTGTTAAGTGCAGGGATAATAGCAGTCCGAGAGTCCAAGTCATTACCCTCATCAACCTGGTCATCAGGAGGAAAAAGTGGAAAAAAGATGCAATTATTACCACACGGAGTAAAAGATAACCTTATATAGTAAATGAAAGCATACCTGCTCAGGTTGTGCAAGAGAATGTTCCTGGTTTCTCTTGGAAAGATCCCTCATAGTACCCTGCAAAATCCATTTGTCAAAACGTGGGACTACTGACAACTCCACAATCAGATTCAAAATTAATGAAATTAGCAAATTTCAGATTCGCAGTTTAGTAATTTTCAATTTAATGCTCACAAACAATATAGTTTCGCCTTCCTTGATATACTTCGAAATGGGAGGAAAAGGAAATTAAATTATCATCTAATGACTCTTGGAAGAAAATAGTTCATAAGAGCATGTTAAAATGCGTAAACAGGACATCCCAATATTTTGATAATCATAAATAGTGCTAGAAAAGATCACATATAATAATTTACCAACAGCAATTTCACACCACTGATTATATAGAAAAGAAAACAATGAAATTATATGTCTTCAATGTCTTCCCAAAATCAAACCAACTCTCAGCTAACAATTCATAAATCTGTTTTGCATTTCCAATAGAATCAAAGAAAAGTTGACTTGATGTGTTAGAGAATAATATAAACCATTAAAAAGGCCTTTACCCAAAACTTTAAAATTTTGGGTTGAATCGGTTCTTTACATGGTATCAGAGCTTCAGTGACCATAAGGTCACGAGTTCGATCTCCACTGCCCCCCACTTGTGGAATTAAATAAGCACAAGGCAAAACCAAAAAAAAAAAAATTGGACTTATACAATATCCACGTTTCAAACCCAAAAGGCTATTACGTTAGGGGGTGTGTTAGAGAATAATATAAACCATTAAAAAAGTCTTCACCCAAAACACCTTAAGATTTTGGATTGAATTGGTTCTTTACATGATGTAAAGTCACTCCTAACAGCCATGTAGGGGACAGCTCCGGTTTAAAATGGGAGTTTCATGTCTCACATGCAGCAGATATCGGACTCATACTCCTCCATCAATCCCATCCAGAGGGAAAGAGTGGTCCATCCACACCACATGTGGACAAGCCAAGCTCTAATAACAAAGTGATGTAAGATAAAAGACCTAGGGTTTGACCTGTGGCACCCAAGAGAAATAGAGGAAAGAATACCAAGGAGATCCAAAACATAGCCAAAGGGGAGTGTCTTCTTGTTAGAAACAAGGGTAAAGAGAAGAGTAAAATTCCTTTTTTTTTTATTTAAATTTTAGTTAGATGGATGTATATGTATAGAAAATAACATGAACAAAAGTTTTTTCCCCAAAGCATCCCACATGGATAATGGAAAAGAACTTACCCTGGTTGCCCAAAAAAGTCCGCAAGCATTGCAAAGTGACCTTGGACCACATGGCCCCCTCCGCATCATTGGGGTGGATTTTGAACTTATGCCACAATGCGTGCATCTATACAAACATGAATACAAAGAGATGGTATAACATCCAATGACATATCTCACAACTCAAATGACACCACCAGAAACCCATATTCAGTCACAAAATCAGAGTACGAAGGAAAGTTTCTGGCTATAAGATTAAAAGCGTAACATGAAACTCACAAGGTTTCTGACGGAACAGTATCCTGCACCGACTCTTGATCTGAACCCCAACTATTAGCTCCATCTTGTTTCTTAGATGACGTAAATTGACCCTTATTACGATGCATCCTACATTTCAAAAATCAGACGAGTAAGAAATAGGTATTTATGCAAATAAAATCAAACAGCTAAAATGATGGGGAACAAGAAAGAATATGGAAAATAGATGATATTTAATGGCCGATGTGAAGTTGAGAGCTTCCTCATTTGATAACATCAGAATCTGAAATACCAAGTCCCAAAAAAGTTCTAGTTGAGAAAGACAGCCCATTATTAGGAGACACCAAGCCATTTGTTAATACAATGCAAACAACTATGTACCTACCAATATATATATCATAGCTAAAGAAACCAAATCTCAAAGTATGAAATTAAGCCTTTCAGTCAAGCATATATAAATTATTAGATATATCATGCATAAACTTACTGAGGGAAGATGCTCTCGAAGTATGCATTATATTTGAAATCTCTTTGTACTCAATTAAAAAAATTTCAGATGTGAAGAGGAAGCGAGAACATGGAAGCAGTAGTGCTAGTTTCAACTTAACCACATTAAGGTCAATAGAGTCCCACAACAAAAGGAAAATCGGAAGAAACAAAGTATTTAATGACTGAACACGGCCTAGAGTGACTACCCCAAAAATGCTATAGCAGTGTAGTATATCGTGGAATGGCCACTGCATCTAAGACATTAAGAGAAAGTGGCGAGAAAATCAAGGAAAATGAGAGAGAATCTGAAGGAATTCTTCATAGTGAAGTTGTATTATTGATGATTAAATGAATCAGATATACTGGGCTCTATTTATAGAGCTGACAAACAGAATACATGCAAGTAACAGATCCTAACCTTACTAACAAACTAGTGTCGCAGAATCCAACAAACTAAGGCAAATGATTCTGTGCAGCACAAAGTACACTAACAGCAATACAGTAGCTAAAATATGAGAAAGATAAAATGTATCTCTAACAGACAGCAGCTGCAATGAATAAAATTTGAAAATTTGAAAAAAATGCATAATTAATAACCCTGATAGAGTAATAGTTTTCAACCTTTATACCCAAAACATATAAACAACAAATAAAGTTTCAATACTCAAAATTTAAGATAAATTTATCATGTACCCTAGCGAAAAAGTTATTAAAAACTTAAATACCAATTATAAAGGTCTAACAAGCATAACATAATAAAAGGAATGACACCTATTACCCCTCAAAAGAATAGTGCTGTCAATTACCAGAAAAAAGGCAACAATGTAAATAACACACTTTTCCTTTTGGGTCAGCAGTCTATTAGGAAGATAGAAAGGGGAAAAAAGAAGTTCAGAGGGCAAAGTAGGGTGCAAACAGACAAAGAATTGTGCAAATCAGATGGAGTACCATGCATTTCAGTCACCAGGAGCTATTGTGGCACTCAGCATATAATAGTGAAACGCTCCACCTCCAGCATTTGGGGGCGAAGAGGCTCCACTGGGTGGCGGGCCACTAGTGGTCACTCTAGCTGCTATTAACTACTTTGGAAACCTATGATGCACGGTACTCCAAAATTAATGATGTATGTGTATCGTATCCCTATCCAATACTGATACTCATGATACACCTGCATTCATATTTATTTGTATCCCTTTTCTTTTGTGAATACTGCCCTCAAGTTTTGGCATTCAAACAATCCAAGAGATACAGATTCAAGTATTGTTCTCACCAATCACCTCCCTCAAACTATATTCTCACTCTTGCAATCTTACCATCCTCAAAATTATGCACCAAACGTGGAGGGGAGAGGGAGAACACATGGCACTTGGATTGCAGTAATCATAAGTGGATGAATTAAAAAAATTTACCATATAAATGGATGTTTTATTAATATATATTGCCATGCCATATCTTAATTTTTTGAGAAATTATCCTAGTTGTGTATTGTATTGGATACTCATACCTGGAAAAAAATCTTTTCTATCATCAGATTTTGAAATATCTTCATGCAAATTACTCATTTAAAGAGGTATAAAGGAATTGCTTTTGGAATCTATCTACTAAACAAGAAAGTCTAGGTTTCTGAAAGGAGTGAATTGCAACAATCCAAAACATGCTTAAATTCATATACAAACAAATGAAACGTGAGTGAAAAATGAACAAAATATCGCTTGTCATTACTTACACCTATCAGAGATTTAATAATCCAAAACATGTTTATATTTTCTAGCAAGGCACAGCTGCCTACTATAGACCCACACAATGGGCCTGACCCTTCCCTAGACCCAGCCCATAGCGGGCAAGAGCTTTATAGCACTAGTGTAACGCCCGGCCGCTTCAAGAATCAATGACTATCCTCACATACTAACACGAGACTTTTCAGTGTGCTTTTTCCTCACTCGCACACTTCCCGGGAAAACTTCCCAAGAGGTCACCCATCCCAGAATTGCTCCAAGTCAAGCACGCTTAACTGTGGAGTTTTTCCGATCCGGGCTACCGAAAAGCAGATGCATCTTATTAGTATATGTAATACCAATTAATTCTTATAAGCTATCCCAAATTGTGCAGTCTCATACCTGCACAGTCTTTGGAATCCCTCTCTTTCGGGTGTCGATTCGATTCATTCATGCATGTAACCCCCCACTGGAAGCCTGTCAGGAGCCGCTTCTTGTCTGTGCCTCTTTGCACCGGCGATCACTCCCCGCCCTCGTCAGCGGTCGGGATGTTACATGCCCACCAGCTTCCGCCTGGTTCGTCCTCGAACCACACCGTACTGGAAGAGGGGCCCTGCTCTGATACCACTTGTAACGCCCGACCGCTTCAAGAATCAATGACTATCCCCACATACTAACACGAGACTTTTCAGTGTGCTTTTTCCTCACTCGCACACTTCCCGCCGCTTCAAGAATCAATGACTATCCTCACATACTAACACGAGACTTTTCAGTGTGCTTTTTCCTCACTCGCACACTTCCCGGGAAAACTTCCCAGGAGGTCACCCATCCCAAAATTGCTCCAAGTCAAGCACGCTTAACTATGGAGTTCTTCCGGTCCCAATTCTGGGATGGGTGACCTCCTGGGAAGTTTTCCCGGGAAGTGTGCGAGTGAGGAAAAAGCACACTGAAAAGTCTCGTGTTAGTATGTGGGGATAGTCATTGATTCTTGAAGCGGCTGGGCGTTACAAGTGGTATCAGAGCAGGGCCTCTCATCCAGTACGGCGTGGTTCGAGGACGAACCAGGCGGAAGCTGGTGGGCATGTAACATCCCGACCGCTGACGAGGGCGGGGAGTGATCGCCGGTGCAAAGAGGCACGGACAATGAGCGGCTCCTGACAGGCTTCCAGCGGGGGGTTACATGCATGAATGAATCGAATCAACACCCGAAAGAAAGAGATTCCAAAGGCTGTGCAGGTATAAGACTGCACAGTTTGTGATAGCTTATAAGAATTAATTGGTACTACCTATACTAACAAGATGCATCTGCTTTTCGGTAACCCGGACCGGAAGAACTCCACAACTAAGCGTGCTTGACTTGGAGCAATTCTGGGATGGGTGACCTCCTGGGAAGTTTTCCCGAGAAGTGTGCGAGTGAGGACAAAGCACACTGAAAAGTCTCGTGTTAGTATGTGAGGATAGTCATTGATTCTTGAAGCGGTCGGGCGTTACAACTAGGCTGACCTGTTTTTTGGCAATTAAAAGTCTATTCGTTGATATGTCAACATATAACAAAATTAGACATTAAATTAGGATCAATTCCTTCCACAATTCAAAAGGGCTGGCTGTAATATGGTGAATTTTTTAGATTACTCCACATCAACCAAGTCAAAATTGTCCCTCAAAGGATGTTGTGGAGTGATCGCGGTTCTTCACATAGTAAAAAAGAAAGATATTTTCAATTTGGTAACAGGACTTAAACTAAACTCCTGCACACTTGCTCACTGCAAAATGTATGGGTCTGTTTGATTGTGTTCTGATTTTTTTGTTCTTAAAACATTATTTTGTAGAATAATTATGGAAACAAGTGTTTTATGTGTTTTTTTTATTTTGAAAGTTAAAAGTCAAAACACAAAACAAAAATAACTCAAACATGTTCTTTCTCTAAATTTCATTTTAAAAACAAAAAAAAGTTACAATTTTTAATTATTTTTTTACAAAACGGGACTTGTCAAACGGATTTTTTTTTTATTCTGAAAACCAAAAAACTGTTTTTAGAAACAGTATGCAAACAGGGCCTATATTTCCCATTACTTCAGAAAGAGATGAAACTTCAATGCACGTTTTCTTGAGTCTCTACCATACTAATCAATAATTTATCTACTACTTATAACTAAACTGGTTTAAGAAGAAAAGAAACAACTTCATTCCAAATCATCATTTGCAAGATGGAACATAAATCAAGCAGCATTAACTTTTGATCTCAGACAGCAAATAAACTCCAAAGAGCTCAATGTAACACTCAATAAGCTTGCTATAAGAAACCCTGTATGCTTATTATCAGACCTGAGTGCAACTTCTTGACGTACACTATATCTAACTTTCTTGTCAAAGCATCGCTCTTTCCTTTTTTGACGGAACCTACTCAAAGAGGCTGCTCGCTGAGGTTGACTACATCTTGCAGGATATTCAGTGGCACCCTACAATCAAAACTCAAATAATTAGAAAACACAACTCGTCAGTGTCTACAGCCTGAGCTTGAAGATCTACAATAAGTACATACCCTCTGATTTAGGGGCGACATCTCCCCACATTGCGAACCCGAAGATAATTCACATCCTCCCAACAGTAATAACACCGCTTGAACCTGTTACGCGAAATCAAATGCAGAACTTCGTTGTTAAAAGCACCTAAAGTTCCTTCAATCGCATGCTACTTGGCACAAAAGTATGGAAAATTCAAAACCCCAATGAAGAAAGAACAAGAATGGGAAAAAATTCACAGTGAAAAAAAAAACGTACCTTATCAGGTGTAACATCGAAGACATAAACTTGGCCGCGAAACGAAAGCGTGAGCTTGCTAGAATCATCGCAGTGCTGCATAGACATGTCAGGACCTCCATCACCAGAAACATACACAGCGTCGGTGGAAACATCTTCGACTCCGCCGCTACCGTCTTCAAGGGTATGCGAATCGTAATGAATGAGGCGAAGGTGGTTGTTGTGCACGGACTCCGCAGCGGCGCCGGAGCCGTCGTTGTCTTCGGCGGGGACGATCTCGTTGGAGATGTTCATGGGGTCGTACATTGTTGATAGCAAGGTAGAATTAGGGGTTTTTGATGCATTACAAGGAGGAATGGTTGAAACCCTAATATAGCCCCAAACCTTAACCCTTAACCCTAACCCTAAGGAAGAGATTGATTGAGTGGGAGAGTGAGTTAACAATGGAGATATTCAATGTCGGACTGAAGGGAGTGACCCTAATGGCTAATGGTGGTGGCGACTATATACGAGGTTGCCTCGTTTTCCCAATATTTGTCTATCACGCCCAAAGTTTGCATCTCCTAAAATTTTTTTTTAACAAAAATATTATAATCACGAATAAGAAAAGGAAAAGATTTTTCATTTTACATGAAATAAAGTTATGTCATTTTAAACGAGAGATAGATACAAGAAATTATTTTTTATTTCAAATTTAAATTACAAAAATCACTCACTTTCTCTCTTATAATTTTTATTTTTTTGTGTTTATCTCTCTCCTAAAATGACATAACTTATGTTATTTAAAATAACAAACATCAAACCCGAAAAGAAAATTAGTAATTTATAATAATGAAGGTTATATTTATTAATAATTTATATTTACAATCTATTACAACTATATCTTTACCGTTGATTTTCGTCAATCAATGATTATCATTTATTGCGAATTAATAATTTATTAATGATTTTGATTTGTGAAAATAATAATCGTTGATTGACGAGAGCAACGGTAATATATGATTGTAAACGAAAATAAGTTGTAAATATAACTTTCCCTATTTATGATATGATAAAATATATTAAATATATTTTATATATATATATATATATATATATATATATGGGAAAAATATTTATCCAGTCGCTAGAGATAAAGTGAGTCTAAAACGACGTCGTTTTAGGTATAAGATTAAAAAATTATAATGATATAAACTAATATATCCCCGCAATAAATTAGAATTACAAAAATACTTTAATTTTAGCCACAAAATGACGTCATTTTGCGTTCACCGGAGATAAATCATCTTCATTGACTGGAGAAATATTTTAACACACACACGTGCACACAAACACACACACACACACACACACACACATATATATATATTGGATAAGATCCTTTAACACCAGTGTCAAACTTTGGAATTTTGACACAAAATTCTAACCGTTGATTTTCACCAATCAACGGTTATCATTTATTAGAAGTTAATGATTAATTAATAAGTTTGATTTCCAATAAAAGATAATCGTTGATTGGCAAAAATCAACGGTTAGGATTTGATGTCAAATTTTAAAGTTTGACACCGATATTAAAGGATCTATATATATATATATTGATTCCCTTAATTTTTTATTATTTATTATAATTTCTCTGTCTTTTTTAAAATAGTAAATTCTCACTTTAAAAGAGTTGAATTTAAAAAGAGGATAACCTTGATTGAATAACCAAAATAAATAATATTCTATTATTCTTAATTTATTTTTTACGATATTTATAAGTAAAAAATACTCAACGAGACTGCTATACTTTTATTAATGTATTCACAATATTTGCCTTTGACTCCGAGATTTGCATCATCACAGGCCACTGCTAGCACCAACTTTCGCAACCTGCTTCATTGAGGATCTACTCCCCAATCATTACAGAACATAAACACGAATACAAACAATCAGCAAAAGCTGGTAATCCCAATCCAAAATACAGTAAAGATAATCATAGCTCAAATATTCATCATAATCATGTTATCAAAAAAAAAAAAAATATTCATCATAATCAACTTAAGTATCAATTCAAGTATGTTATTTTCATTATTAATCTTATTTAGTTTCATTAAGCTCATTTAGTGGGAAGAGAACCATGGTAGACGCGGGAGACCCTGTTATCAGTCTACCCACATAACCTGGGAAACCTATTGCCAGCCACGTATCATCAAATTTGGCCATCATCAAATAGTGTCCCTCTATACTTCTCATAAAGATGAGTCCTATTAAGTTGAATAATCGCCATGCGATATTTGAAAGCTTCAATACATCAGTGAAATATTTAAAAATCCCTATCGAACACGACTTTATCATTGTCACATTGGTGGTTGACAAAATAATTATTCTTATCAAGCTTGAACATGGAACCCACTAAAAACTACAGCACGTACATAGCTTTCATTTTGGCTTCCTAAGACTTCCTACTCTCTTAGATGAGATTGAGCTGAACATATTGGTCTTTCTTTAACATATCTATCAAATGCAAACAAGAATCAATATTTACATCAACATACACCGTCAGATAAAGGACACAAACAAATAATGTAAAACATTGTACACCACATACCTAAAATGGTTGAACAAATAAACTCAGAGTCCATCTGTTTATGTAACTATTGGTTCAAACAATTGTAATCTTCACCCCACTTACAGATCACCCATTTATTTTCTTTCTTGGGCATGATCGACGTCATATACCGGGGACAAGCATCTTCATGGTTTCGACATTTCATCACAAATCAGTGTTCAACACTTTTTGCAACTATAATTGTATGATGGGTCTTCATGTAATACATTTTAGTAGCATGTTGCATTGTAGACTTGGACTCGAACTCTTGTTGAACAAATAATAGATCTCATATTTGCCAAGCATCTTGCAACTCGTTATCACCATACATAATCTCTTTAGTGGGTGCTCCCAATTAATATATGTATAATGTTGACTATCGTTTCAGTATAAGGTAATATTTGGCATTACACCTGTAACCATGATATTTTTATTAAATGCATTAATTAGATAAATATGAAGATAAATTCATAAACTAATCACTATTAATTATGTTAACTTGAAGGTTTATCAAAGAAGGGGTACTCTTGTTTATTGGCATCATATCAGTATCAAAATCACCCTCCACGTCACTATTCAATGAAACTTCAAGTGAAATTACACTTTCGGGTTCTGCCTCCTCATCATTGTCCAAATCCAACAAATTGTCGTCTTATTGCTCCCCTGATGTGATATGACTTAACATTGGTGCAGATGAGTGGACAAAACTGTCTTTGCGACGACAATACCATTTTGTGCTCATATGCATTGGTTGGATGGGTAAAGAAGACAGTTGACCATAATCAATTTTAATATATCTTTCAATAAATTTTTGCACAGACTGACCAAGATATATCGACCAAGATATGTATTGATCATACACTCCACATCTTTATCATCATTGACATCATTACCAAGGTACCACTCATTAGAAGTCTCATACCTAGCTATCAAATGAGTTTTGTTGAACTCTCCTCTTGAGATCATTATATGTAGCATTATGTTTAATTTGCATTATTTTTCTTGGACCTTTAAAAGTTATACCATTAGAACCTTCAAATTGTCTACCATTGCAGCAGACAATCACAACAAATGTTTGGAAACTAGAGATCTTCTTTGCCAAAGATTAGGGTTCAGAGATAGGTTTGATTTTTACATAAAAATTCAAATATCTAAGGATAATGCCAATAATTTGATAAGGATACAGATTTGAAATGGTGAGGGTGAGAGTTAAGTTGTTAGGTTGAAAGGAAGATTAAAAACTAGTTGAAGAAAATGATAAAAATCACGATAAAAGAAATTGTGGGTGACACTCTAGAGCCTTTTTGACACATTTCTTTTTTTAATCTAAAAGTTACTTTTAAGCCACAGCTAAACAAAAGAGCTTTAAAAATAAAGCTACAAGTTGTTTGATGATTATAAAAAAAAATTAGTTTAAAAATTACTTAAAAACTGTTAATTAAAAAAAAACTCACATTTCAAAAAAAGCTGATACAACTTAAAAAAAACTCCTCCTAAATTTTTTTGACTTTTGGCTTTTTTTCTTCATTATAAAAAAACTGTTTATTATAAGAGCTTTTGTAAAAAATCTGTTTGGCCTAATTTTTACTTATAAGGATAAGAGAAGCTAAAAAAAAAAAAGACATCTCAAACAAGCGTAACTAGGTCAGTTACTCAAATAAATGACTTGACTGGTCAAACAAGGATATATTGATATAAAATTTAAAAAAAGAGACATTAATATATAATTTCAAAAGGATGACAAAATGATAATTTTTTTAAAAACATGGACACAATGGTCAATCACCATTATTACTACGTCGGGGAATTGTGAATATTTTTCACTAGTCTATAGCATGTATTTGTTGATATTTTCTTTCTGCTTCCTTCGGAAGCATGCATACAACTACTCAAACAAATAACATATAGGCAATGTGTTAAAACCCCTCCCTACCCTGGGGTCGACCCCGTCGGGTTACTTACGGGCTCTCTATGAGGATTGGGGTTAGCAGTTAGACCTTGCATACACGTTGATCCCTCTGACCCCCGAAATCCCTGGTTGAACCCGTGACTCCCGGGCCAAAGGGTTCATAGGAGGTCACTACATTTTTTTATAAAAAAAAATTTCACACAAGGAAAATGTCATTTGGTGTAAAAAAAAAAAAAGAACTCGTTGCTGCCTAGATCCAGAACTAGATCTAAAATATAGATCGTTCTTCTTCTTTTCTTCCGATCTTCTCTCCCAGACCCAGACTTAGTCTCCCTGATCCGGTGATCTACTCTGCCGTGGTGGTGGTTCCTCCTATCATCTTCAGTTTTCTCTCTCCCTCTCCTCCACCATGTTGATTCTTCTCTCCCTACCGTTGATACGTCGTGTCGCCGCCTCTCCTTCGTCCTTCTCTCTTGGGGTAAGGGATCTCCTTTCACATATTATTGTAGGTGGTGAGAAAGACAAGGAGAGCTGAGTTTGATGATATAACTTTTCATTAACTCCATTGAAATATGTGTTTTATACTTTGATAATTTGATACTTTGATTAGCTTGTGTAATATCGACTTGTTCATATAATTGGTTGAATTATATCAAGTATATTTTGAATCTTTGATGATTGATAAATTAATTTTTTTGAATTTTTCATATAGAATATATATTTATATTTTTTTAATATATAAAATCGAATCAATGAAGTGATCCCTTGATTTCCCGGTTAAACCCTTGACCCCGTGACTCTTGACCTCAACTGAGTCGATGGGTGAACCAAATTTTTAAATACTGCATATAGGTGGGATAACACCTGGCCTCTTACTTCTATTCCTCTTTTATGAATATTATTAAGTATTTTATGTTCACTCTTTTGTAATGTTGAAAAGAAAAAAGATGAAGAACAGTAAACTTACACTTTATTGTATCTTATACCCAGAGATGGGTTAGTTGGGAGAAACATCATCAGATACAAACATTGGTGAAGAGTTATCCTTTTGCTGTAAGATAAGGCATTGAAGCCTGTCTGTACATTATAGTTGTGTTAACAGAGGAACGCAAAAACAACAGCTCATAGCTACAATTTTAGTGCACAAGAATCCAAGAGAACCTAACGAAGAATTAACGAATATAATGTACATGTATGAACAAAACCCCGAGTCCTTACCCCCTATAATCTATAGCATGAGAAAACTGATTCCAGGAATCTAATTGCTGTCTCATGGTGTTTAAAAAGTAAATGATAATCCACTCAATTCTTCTATTCCAGTATGAAAGAAATAAAAATATGCTTTCTATATCCAGGTAAAGCTGGTGGTCTCACATCCTATCTTCACAGTATCCACAGGCCAAGCACTTCAAGGGGATGACACCCAAAACTCCAAAGGGAAGAATATGACAAGATCAACATGTAAGAAATATTAGCATAACCCCAACTATGTAGTAGTCAGCCGGTGCACCTGTTAAAGATAACGGAGTAATATTCATAAATGCTTAGGAAATTAACTTCCAAACAGAAACATCTTGTACATTTTGGATGTTACAGCTAATTACAACCATCAAATACTCTCTGGAATATTGACATTCACGTATGACCAGAAGAAATAATGACTACTATTTTGAACTGCAGCTGATTTCAAGACAAGTTTAAACAATCATAACCCTATATGAAGATAAGTTTCGGTAAATTCATCCAAGGACAAACTAACACTACATTAAAATGAATTGGAGACTAGTTTGTACATAACTATTTCAATCCAAAATCTTAAGTTATTAGGTGAAGACATTTTTATTAGTATGCCATGAGTCTTAATAGAATTCAAGCATGGACAATTTAAAAAACCTGTCGCACCAAGAGCCAACAGTTTTAGGGTTTGAAACATTTTTTTTTTCAGGGCCACTATCCCAAGAACCCTTTTTCAGAATTTGAAACATTGAAATTAAACTTTTTATTAGAACAGAGAATTGAACTGAAGACCCGTTGGATCGTAGAAGCTCTGATGCCATATAAAAAATAATTTCAACTCAAAAGCTTAAGTTGTTAGGTGAAGGCATTTTTAATAGTTTTATATTATATCTTTCTTAAAATAGTTTGGTGCCAAATGCTTGTCTTGGAGAGTATTACCAGGCAAGTTCTGAGATAAAACTTTCATTTTACTTAGTATGGTTGTCGCCTTTAACTTTTCCAGTTTAATTAAACAATACATTAACCACTTATGACAAGAGGTTAACACAAAAAACGGTTGATTAAAATAATGAATGTTAATCAATTGATAAATGGTTGTTTTTTTGGTGGTTAATGTGAAACTGAAATTGAATAATTAAAAAAGTCAAATGTGGTTAACGTTAATACTACGATAAGAACCAGCAGAACTATTATAGTACAACCCAAATCAATAAAATAATCCCATTGCAAGCTAAATTTGACACAATACCGATTGGCATTCCAAAAAAATGCCTTCACTCAATATCGTCACTTTAAAATCAATTAATAATTTTCAATTGCGCTTTACAGATAATTCAATAAAATGGCCCTCAAGTATCATTTGAAAAATCTTATGTTTTCCTTTATAAATCTGGGTCCCAGACAAATTAAATAGCAATGAAGCTTTGCAATTGCAGTGAGGAATAACGGGAAATTTATATACTGTTAACTATTAGTAGTTGAATACGAAGTAATTTATATGGATTCTTATTTGTGTAGACGAATATAAGCAATCAAGCACATTTCCTAGTACCAAATAAAAAAGGGACCAAGTAGTCATAAATGAATGAAAGTGTTGTACCTGGAACAGTCATCACAGGGCAGGTCTAAATGTTAAAATTCCCCATACATCTTCTGCATGCTATTGTCATCTTTTCTGTTACGTGAGCTTTGATTTCATATTTTTGTTGTGGCCAGTTTTCCGAAGCTGAGGATTTTCTATCGAATACACAAGGAGGCTTCCATCTTTTGTGCCTGCCAAGAAGCATTCTTCTGGGGTTACTGCCAGAGATGTCATAATCTTTCCAACTCCATGATATTTCTTAACAACTTCAAAGGTGTTCATAGAGCGAACAATAATCTGCCCCTGATCACCTGCACCAACCAAAAACTCACCACATCTGCTCAACTGAACAGTATTAAGGCGTCCGTTGGATTCAGAAGCAGCAAGATGTTTTCCATTAATTGAATATAGGTGCAAACTAAGATCGTCATCGGCATAAATCACAATCTGACCACGCTGAGAGACAACTAGCTTTGATATTGGACTGCCTGATGGATGTCGTATGGATCTAACATATCTACCTTCTCGCAGGGTATGGAATACACAAGTTCCATCTTTTGATCCACTAATTATGATATCAAGCTCATGACTAACATATAAGCAAGTTATTATATCATCATGCCCACAAAGGATATGACATGGAGTTTCAATTATGACATAGTTCTTACGGGGTAACTCAGACTGACTGTTGTGAATTCTCTTTTCGGTGGTTTTACCACGAAAAACTTCCCAAACCATTACTGTTGTGTCATAACTTCCAGTTGCAAGGATGCTTCCATCAGATGTAACTGTAGCACACACATCATTCTCTAGTCAGACAGGAGCAGAAAGTAAAAGGCTGAACATTACCAAGGCAAAATAAGATATTAACAGAAAGCTCGCTATAAGCTGTCAAAGGAGACATTTATGTCTATGAAAAAATAATAGTAATAGTAGCTACTTTAGATATAGAAAATGTGCAATTCAATTGATTCCACCATGATAGAATTCAAGGTCAGAAGAGGAAATGCTAGAAAGCTTAGGAAATTGAGAGAAAATAGAGATTCTCTGAATTCTGAATCTGTTGAATTGTTTTTGTGTTCATCTGTTAGCTAGATCTGAATATATATACATCAGTTAAATGTAAAAGAATACGTTATGTATTGATCTGTGTCAGGGAGTTACAATATATAGAGATCCTAATGGGCTTAAGTGTAAGGCCCAAACCTAATCCAAACCTAATCCTAATACAGTCAGAATACAGTCAGAATACAGTCAGACTATTTACGGATAAGACAGAATCCAATCATATCTAATCAAATCTAATCATATCATATCTAATATTCTAACACTCCCCCTCAAGCTGGTGCGTATATATTATGAGCACCAAGCTTGTTACAAATGTATTCAACCCGAGGACCTCTAAGAGCTTTAGTGAAAACATCTGCTAGTTGATTAGATGAGTTGACAAAAGCTGTCTTGATTTCTCCTGACTGAATCTTTTCCCGAATGAAGTGACAATCAATCTCTATATGTTTGGTCCTCTCATGAAAAACAGGATTAAAGGATATATGTAGCGCAGCTTGATTATCACAGATGAGTGTCATGGGTTGTTTCTGTTCACAAAGATGAAGCTCCTGAATCAACTGCTTTAACCAGATCAACTCACAGGTAGTATTTGCCATTGCACGATACTCAGCTTCTGCACTAGATCGGGAAACAACAGGTTGTTTCTTGCTTTTCCATGAGATTAAGTTTCCTCCGAAGAAGACACAATAACCAAAAGTAGAGCGTCTGTCTGAGGGTGATCCTGCCCAATCGGCATCTGAGTAACCACAAATTTCTGTATTTCCCTGATCCGAATACAACAAACCTTTTCCTGGTGCTCCTTTGATGTATCGGAGGATCCTCACAGCAGCATCCCAATGTGAATCACAAGGGGAATCAAGGAACTGACTGGCCGTACTGACAGCGAAAGAAATATCTGGCCTAGTCACAGTAAGATAATTGAGCTTCCCAATCAGCCTTCGATAACGTCCAGGATCAGATAACGGCTCCCCTTGTCTGGGCAATAACTTAACATTAGGATCCATTGGTGTATCAACTGGCTTACACGCCAACATACCAGTCTCTTCTAGGATATTCAAGGCATACTTCCTTTGACAGATAGAAATGCCCTGTCTAGATTGTGCTACCTCAATTCCCAAGAAGTAACGCAGCTTCCCAAGGTCCTTTGTTTGAAATGCACTGAATAAATGTTGTTTTAACTGATGGATTCCGTCTTGATCACTCCCGGTGAGAATGATGTCATCAACATAGACTAACAAATAGATGCACTTATCAGGAGATGTGATCCTATAGAACACAGAGTGATCAACTTTACTGCGAATTAGGCCAAACTCCTGAACAGCAGAACTGAAGCGACTGAACCATGCTCGAGGAGACTGCTTGAGACCATATAAGGACTTTCGAAGACGACACACCTTCCCAGGCTCCCCCTGAGCAACAAAACCAGGTGGTTGCTCCATGTAAACTTCTTCTTGTAAATCACCATGAAGAAAGGCATTTTTGATGTCAAGTTGAAGGAGTGGCCAGTGACGAACAGCAGCAAGGGCAAGAAATAGGCGGACGGACGCCATCTTAGCGACCGGAGAGAATGTATCGCTATAATCAAGGCCGAATATTTGAGTAAAACCCTTTGCAACTAGGCGGGCCTTGAGTCGATCAACATGGCCATCAGGTCCAACTTTCACAGTAAACACCCAGCGACAACCAACTGTAGACTTCTGTGGAGGAGCAGAAACAAGGTCCCAAGTGCCATTGGAATGAAGTGCAGTCATCTCATCAAGCATCGCTTGGCGCCACCCTGGATGGGAAAGTGCTTCACCTGTGGTCTTAGGAATAGAAATAGAAGAAAGACTAGAAACAAAGGTGAAATGAGGTGAAGAAAGACGGTCATAGCTCAAAAAAGTATAAAGAGGATAAGGGTTACGAGTAGTACGAGTACCTTTTCTTTGAGCAATGGGAAGAGCCTCTGGTGAAGGATCCGGAGAGGAAGAAGCAACAGCAGTGGGCGATGAGTCAGCAAGAGTCGAGTCGACAGGAGGCATAGTTTTGCGACGCTGATAGGTGAGAAGTGGACGGTCCTCAGGTATAGAAGCAATAGGTTGCTCATTTGGAATAGAAGCACCTGCAGCTGGCAAAGACAAGTCAAGAAAAGGGACAGGAAGAACATGATCAACCTGTGACAACTGAGATGGAATAGAATTAAAGGGTTGTTGATAAAGAAAAGTGACATCAGCGGAAACTAAGTAACGCTTAAGATCGGGAGAATAACAACGATAACCCTTTTGAAGACGAGAATAACCAAGAAAGATACACTGAAAGGCTTTGGATGTTAACTTATCCTTACCAGGAGTGAGATCATGAACAAAACAAGTACAACCAAAGACATGTGGAGTTAGAGGATAAAGAGGAACATCTGGAAGCAATAGGTTATGAGGAATGTCATTGTTGAGCACAGATGAGGGCATGCGATTGATGAGAAAACAAGAGATGAGTACAGCATCTGCCCAGAAGTGAAGGGGAACCTGCATATGAAGAAGAAGGGTACGTGCAGTTTCAATGAGATGTCTGTTTTTACGTTCAGCCACCCCATTTTGTTGTGGAGTGTGAGGACAAGTAGTTTGATGTAAAGTACCTTGTGTGGCCAAGAAATTAGAAAAATCAATAGAAACATATTCCTTAGCATTATCACTACGTAGAATACGAATAGAAACACCAAATTGAGTATGAATCTCAGTATAAAACTTTTTATAAATGGAAAATAACTCAGAACGATTTTTCATTAAATAGACCCAAGTGCAACGGGAAAAATCATCAATAAAGGTAACGAAATACCGAAAACCTAAAACAGACAAGGTACGACTTGGACCCCAGATATCTGAATGAACAAGAGAAAAAGGGGCATCAGCTCGTTTATTGACTCGATTGGCAAAAGAGGAACGTGTATGCTTCCCTTGTTGACATGACACACAATCTAAAGACTGAAGACCGGATAAAAGAGGAACCATTTTCTGCAACTTCGAAAGACTTGGATGACCGAGGCGACTGTGGATAAGTTGTGGAGATTCTGTGAGAGAGAGTGCCACTGAAGGACGAGGCACATCCAGATAGTAAAGCCCCCGTGACTCACGACCCACTCCAATCATTTCCCCCGTACCCGGATCCTGCACAGAAACAGAATGGTTAGAGAAAGTAATGGTGCAAGTGAGGGAGTGGATCAACTTACTAATAGAAATTAAGTTATAAGGGATGCCAGGAATGTAATAAACAGATGTCAAGGCCAAGGTAGAGGTCGGACGAGCTTGTCCAATCCCACGAACTGGGGCTTTGGTTCCATCCGCAAGGGTAAAAGAAGGTAAATGATCAGAAGGAGGACAAGGAGAGTTAACCTCCGAGAGATCAGTGGACGCTGCTGCCATTTAAAAACAGAATATAAAAGCCGTAAACGAAGGCAAACGATATCCAATCAAGGAGAACCACGCGTCTAAAGTGAGACCCACAAAGAACCAAGCACAGATCCAGAAAGAGGAGAAGAAGGCGAGAAGTTCTGTCCAAGAACGGCCGGAAAAATCCACCGGAACAGTGCACACGCGCCGGTTGAAGATGACGCGTGAGCACCACGCG